AGCTAAGTTTGTATACATTTAAAAATTTTATCATATTTTAGATAATTTGTAAAAAAAAAAAAATCATATTTGACTATACTTCAAAAACATAAATAGACATACCTATAGAACTAATTATTAATTAGAACTATAGTTACTAAAGCATAAATTGCAATAAATAAATTTAATATAATAAAGTACATAAAAAATGGAATAGATAAATAAATAGATAAAGAGACTACATTATATAGGTACACTGGTATATTACAAAGGGTATAGATCACTAGTATTATTTAACAACCATAATTTAATATAGTGTTTATATATTTTATTAGACGAACTGTTAATAATTTGCAGTGGAATGTCGTTTAATAATCTCAAACCCACTTGCGAAAAACATCGACTAGATTTCGATATACGAACAGTAGGTATTTCTAAGTTGGTTTTTTGACGTGTGTTATAGTGTCTAGGTTTAAACTCGATTAGATTAAATTTGTATGTGTAATATAGGGCATTTCTGTAGAATAGTTGTTGCGTTGTAAAAATTTTAAATTCAGTAAACAGATCTTTAGTTGGATATGTTTTTCGTTTACTTAAAATTATTTTAATTATGCTTTTTTGAGCTCTGAATATTTTATTGCTTCTTATAATACCTAAGCCACCCCAGGCGGTTATTCCGTATTGTATAATAGATTGTGTCATGGCAAAGTATAATAAACGTAGAGCTTGGTTATTTAGGAATTTTCTTGCGTTAATGAACAGATAGTGCATTTTCCGTAGTTTCATTATTGTATTATTTATGTGTGTATCCCATTTTAGGTGTTGATCATATGTAATACCTAAATATTTAATAGTTTCCGTTTTATTTATAACATTACACGAACAATTATTAGATTTACAGTCGATGTCATGAATTTTAATTGTATTTGAATTGGGTTGGGTTCTATTGTCTAGGGTGAAATTAATGTAATTTGATTTAGCGTAATTTATTCTTAAATTGTGTTTGAGGAACCATGCATTTATCAAGTGTAGGTCTGTTTCTGCTTTTAGGTGAACTTCGTCCCAGTTGTCCCCTGATATAAGAATGGCTGTATCGTCTGCATAAGAAAATAGTTTACCAAAAAATGATAACAAATAAGAAATATAAGGTATCAGTTTCAGTACGTTTCAGTATAACCGTTTAAGAAGGGAAAGAGCTTATAGGGAAAAAGAAAGAATATCAGAAATGCTTAACGGAGAAATAAAGAAGTGAAATGTCAAGAAAATAGTTAACTAAGTCAGTATGTTACGAAATTTGTGTGTCGGTGTGTGGGGTGAAAGTTTTAGCTAGGTGATTTTAATAGCTCATCTTTGTCGATTGACAAAGCTGATTGATTTTGACTTCATCTGAGCTCATTTGTCACTATTGAACTGACTAGGGTTTTATACTGGCTTGTTTTTAGTCGACTTTAATTTTTAAGACTCTCACAACAATTACACGGAACTTAATACAAAACTCCTCGTATCAAAATTTCTAATCAAGCCAATGTGGACTTATGATCTTTAGTTATAGGGCAATGCTAAAAAATCAAATATTAAAAAAACCCAAAACTTCCAAAATGCGGCCCTTCACAATATAACTAACCATCCTCCTCCCCCTTTGTTGCTAATCTAATTCTCTAAATATCTTTTCCATTACAACCCTCTCATAATATCTATTCTATTCATATCCAAAATCCTAGTTGACCTCAGATATAAATAATAAAAAAATCATAGTGCTACCACAGACTGGTTTTCTTCAATCAAGAATTTTACCTGCTGTACATTAATTTACCATATATTCAGTTCAAGCCGAAACTGGCAAACACCCAATTAGCCAACTACTCGTTTCGCTGACGCATAAACCAGTATCTAGTAATATTGGAAAGTTCTATTTTGCCGATACATTAAAGTCTCAAAAAATACAAAATAAATTTATATGTGAAAATCAAGAATATTATAAACATTTTTACTTTGATCAAAGAGTTAAAAAATCAACAAACAAATTTCAAGCTTGAACCATTAACACAAAAAAAACTGTAATAGGCCACACGAGATGAAAAACTAAGTATACAAATTAAGAAGAAAGATTATCATTTTCAAAAGAACAGTAGGTATACTACTACAGTAGGCATTTAGAATTAATTTAAATGAAAATAATACTAAATTTTTAAGAATTGTCAGATTTATATAATGAAATACTTGGACACAATAATGTTCCACTTCATCTTGAAAACACAAATACATACGATTAACTACTATATTTACAGTTAACTTGAACGATGTTCATGATTTTACATAATTTTAAGTAAACTTTTACAATTTTTTTGTTAAAATAAATACTAACTAAATTTTAATTTAAAATTTTTTAACACGTATAATATGAAATATTTTTTTCCAAAAAATATAATTAGTTAATTATATTTTATTTTGATATACAGGGCGTATCATAAAAGACTGGCCAACTCTATGGATTGTGACTCTATATGTGGCTATAAGAATTGGTTTTTTGGAATTTTTGTTTTCTTATCAAAACTTTGGTTTTGCCCGTTTTATTTGTAAAATACCAATGTAAAATAAAAATTAACCATTCCAGAGAATTTATCGCAAAATTCTCTTATGAAATAAGGGGTCGCTCGTTTTTTTCCAAAAATAATCATTATCAGCGGTAATTTTGGCTATCATGTCCAAAATCGTAATTTTTGTATGACACATGAATTTTATGTAAATTTGTCAGGGATTTCAATGGAATAAATTATTTTTTNAAATGTACGAAATATAATAAATATAATTTTACGATTTTTTTTTTCTGTGGACAACTTTTTCACCAGCAATTTTGCTTCAAATTTTAATGATAGCAATGTTTCTAAAAGGAAATTTCACTAATGAGGTACTTTAAAGAGATCATTTTTCGATTGTTCTAAGAGTTTTTCCAGCAAATGTGAAAAATCGGTATAAAACATATACGGTATTAAAAGTCATTCATGGAATGACCTCCAAACATTTTCAAATAGTTCTGGAGTTCGCATTATTTTTTCTGCCGCATAATTTATTCGCTCATTAAGTTGCTCCCTACTAGTTATTTCTCGATCATAAACCTGCTCCTTCATGTACCCCCATAGAAAAAAGTCGCATGGGTTGAAGTCGGGATTTCGAGGTGGCCATAATATATCTGGATAAATTTTAGCATTGTTACCCGCGCGTCTTCCAATAATGAGACCAAGAAATAAATAATGGAGTTACTCTCTGACCTCTATCGTATGACGAGGTGGGATTCCATTTAACACGAACCACATTGTTTCCTGTTTTTCATTAGGAATATTTTCTAATAGTACGGGTAAAGTGTACATAAGACAATTTTGAAACTCGCGTCCATTTAACCTAGGTGGTAAAACATGAGGTCCTAACAAATAATTTCCAATAATACCGCACCAAATATTTATACTAAATTTGTACTGTGATCCTCCTATTCGTATAGCATGTGGATTTTCTTCAGTCCATACATGAGAACTATGCTGGTTGAAAATACCATCTTTTGTGAAACCAGCCTCGTCGGTGAATAAGATGTTCGAAAAATAATTTGGATTTTCCGTTCTTCGATTTATCATATCGGTTGCGAAATTTAGTTTGGCGATATTATCACGTGGCAGCAACTCCTGTTCTCTTTGTCTATGATAGGGGTGTAAATTATTATCATTTAATATCCTCCACGCACTCATTGTAAATAATCCTGTTCTTGCTGAAATACGCCGACAGATAGTTTCGGAATCTCCAGAACAATATTAAGAACTCTTTCCTCATTTTGAGTCTCTCGAACACGTCTTTCAACCCCCCCAATTTGACTGGTACAACTGACCCCACATTAAACCGCAAATTAATTAAAATTGTAATTAAATGTATTGAAGTACACGGAGGTCATATTGAACATTTATTTTAAATATTATTTCTTTATTATCTGATAATAATTAATTATAAAACAATTCAATAAAAACAACTGAATTTATGCGTTTTTTTAATGTTTTTTACATTCAAACGAGTCGTATTTTACGGATAGGATCGTTAAATTGACGCTTAAATAAAAAATAATTTATTCCATTGAAATCCCTGACAAATTTACATAAAATTCATGTGTCATACAAAAATTACGATTTTGGACATGATAGCCAAAAATACCGCTGATAATGATTATTTTTGGAAAAAAACGAGCGACCCCTTATTTCATAAGAGAATTTTGCGATAAATTCTCTGGAATGGTTAATTTTTATTTTACATTGGTATTTTACAAATAAAACGGGCAAAACCAAAGTTTTGATAAGAAAACAAAAATTCCAAAAAACCNGCCAGTCTTTTATGATACGCCCTGTATAATATACAATGTTGATAGAAAATGCCTTGAATAAAATAAAATAAATATTATCTTATCATTTAGAAACAATATTTTTTCAACAATAGAAAAAAAAAAAATAGGTATTCTAGTGTTCAATAATTAAAATGTCGGGAAACGAAAAAGTTTTAGAAGAACGGTAAGTTGTGAGTACACAGCATTAAAAGATACGGGTCAGTGATACTAACAAAGAAAAATGTTTATAAACAATAAAATAAATTAAAGAATTCAATTTTAAAATGTTTAACTATATAGAATATAGGAGGCATCTAGTTTATAGTTTTATTCATGCAAAGTTATAGTAAAAAGATAATAAATTGAATTAAATGAGTGAATTTTTTTTTTACATATAACATACATACTCACAAGCAGAAATTATTTTATTTTGTGGTAGTGTTTCAAATACTATCAAAATAATAAAGAACTTATCTTCCTTGACTTGAGGGAATTAAAAATGGAAATTTTTTATTGAAGTGTGTATTATAGCTTTAAAGATCCCATATATATATATAATGATTTGTTTACAAACTTTTTGTCATCACCTTACTTTACATACAAGATTATTTGTTTAGAAATAAGTTCATTTTCTTCTGTATGCAAAAACTATTAAAAACAATATTGTGAATCATACATTTGATAATAAGTAAATGTATTTACAGCTGTATTTGTTTATATACCTATATGGAGGAATAGGAATAGAAATTAAAAAAAAGAAAATTGTCAAAACGGTTGATTTTTCAAAGAAAGAAATACTCTTACAAAAAATTGCTAAATAAACAAAAAAAAAAATCAGCCATCCAATTTTACAAATTATTTTTTTATTATATACACAGACAAATTTGACTACAAATATTTTTGTTATTGGGCCTTTTAAGACAAAGTGTGCATTCTGCAATGCACATTTTGAATTAACATTGTTTTAACATACAATAGCAATGTCATTCAATCATTATAATAAAATAAGTATTTATGATTTAAAATGAAGTTAAACTATTATATTCCAATAAGATTGTACGAGGTCTGGCTATTAAATAACGAGACTACTTATGAAAAATGGTGTTATTTTCAAAAATATTCCACAACCAAATGTTCCCCTTCAATATACTCTCCTCCCCTCTCCAAACACCGTTTCATTCGTTTCTTCTATTGTTCGAAGTAGTGCTGGAAGTCTGTTTTTTTAAGACCATTCAGGAGTTCCGCCGATTTTCGTTTCACCTCTTCCATCGACTCGAACCGGGTTCCTTTTAAGGCAGACTTGATCTTCGGAAACAAGTAAAAGTCGCAGGATACCAAGTCGGGTAAGTAAGGCGCGTGTTCGAGCACTAGAGTGCCTTAAGCGGCCAAATAACGCTTCACAGACAGCGCGTTATGGACAGGTGCGTTATCCTGGTGCAAGATCTACGACTTGTTTTTCCACAACATCGGCCGTTTCTTACGAACTCGTTCGCGCAGTGTGGCCAAAACTGTCAAATAGTAACCCATTCAGTCATCACGATGCCGTTGATATCGAAGAAAACGATCAGCATGGCTTTGAATTTGGATTTCGACTGAATTGGATTCCAGTGCACTCTCGACCTTCAGAAAATCGTTTATGCCACTCAAAAACACGCGCCCGACATAGGGAATCCTCACCATAGGCCTCTTTTAACAACTTATAGCACTCAGTTGGAGTTTTTTTTTTTAGTTTAACGAGAAATTTAACGTTTATCCGTTGCTCATGTTTTTCGTCACTCATCGTTTTCGGAAAAAAAAAAAAACACGTTCGTTTTTAACCGCTATAGAAATAATACTAATGCACCAATAAAAACCTATTTATGTACTGGCATAATAGACACTTCCAGCTAACCAACGCTATAGTCGGTTTTTCCCTAACTTGTTTAGGACGCTCTTTGCGCGCATAGTCTCGTTATTTAATAGCCAAACCTCGTACTTCTTATTTTGCGTGATCATGCAATCGCGCATCGCGCACCATGCGTTTACAAATGCGTAATTGTTGGAAACCAAGGCTTTATAACCGAATTATGTAAGAACCAACTGCCCGTTAAATTTGAAGTTAATCAACAGTTAGCGCTAACCTACACTAAATTTAAATTGTAAGAACTGGCTTTAGTCTAATATACTTTTGGTGATCGATTCGATTGGTTTTATTATTATGTTACTATTTATTTTTATTTTTTAAGAAATATCGTGATTACAGCTCACAATATTGACGATTCAAAGTGGTAACAAAGTGTTGCATAAATGTGATTTTGTGTTTGTCCTTACTCTAGGTGAGACAATTCGTAGTGGAGATGTTGGTCAACTGCCGGACGTTGGACAAAGTTAAGGTATTGTTGCATAATCGGGACTGGTGTAAATTAACCCGTACCCAAGACTTATTACGGCCATGGACCACGACCAAAACGAGTTCATAGCACAGACCAAAGTCCAATAGGTGTTGGATACTGAGGGCATCGGTGATTGGATCGAGTGGAAGTCATAGAGGTTTTTACCCGTGTTTCTGCAGTTTTTATTGTCACTGGTGATTATATTGATGGGTTTATTGGCTCCCGACTCTAGTCTGAACCAGAGAAATCGTCTGCCGAATGTTCAACAGCCTGGTCTCGTACCTAGTGTTCTTCGTGCTTCTCTTGTATCATTCACACATGGATAAATTAAAAATGCGTAGGGGGTTTTAAAATCACCGACCAGGGTGCCTATAGCCATGTCCCCCTGTGCAATATTATGTTACAGAAACATTTCAGGGACATTTCAAATCAACATGTAATATTGCATTTATTGTTGCTTTTGCGTTAAAGTGTCGTAATTGGTACCGTTAATATCCAAATTTTCTAATCTTATATTTATGTTTCATTAATGCAAATGTAACGTGTTTTCTAACATCTTAATAACATCGTAACAACTGCTATCTGATGTTATAAATAACTTCCTAGTCATACGTATCTTATCAATACTAGATGTTACAAAGACCTCATTTTTTACAAAAATATACAACAATAATAAAAAAAATACGAGAAAAAAAAATAAGAATTGACAAAAAAATGACAACTATGAAAGATGAAACATACAATGGGTATGTAAAAAACACTTCACAGTAACTGCATTCTTATCAATTTTCATATTTGTATGCGTTAATTATCAAAATTACATTCCGCGTCTTTTTTGTTATTAGTTGACTATATACACAATTGTACATACAAAACGGCTGTAGATAATATTATAAACAGCTATGGTAACTAATATATTATCTTACCCTGTTATTACACATACAATTTGCCTGATATCATTATCACTGGGTATTTTTTGGTAACGTTGTTTAAAATACCCAAAATGTATAATTAATTAATTAATAAATAATAAATATCACGGGTATATTACAATATATTATTTTATTATCTATAAGCTATAGCTATGATTAAAACATCAAGCTAAAAAATCCATCCATCGCGATTCACCCATCGTCTCTTCTTAAATACGCCACCGTATTATACTTTAAAAATTAACAATGACAAAATAAAAAAAAATATTCAACGTAATGACGGATAGGTCACAAACAATAATTTACAATAGTAATTTATTATTATAAGTTCGTAGATTTAAGAGTAACTAGAATATGGAAAATCATCTAATATTATAAAAAAAAGAGAAGATAATATACTATATTTACGAAGAATTTCATTTTTATATTTACAGATAAAAACTAATTTATCATAAAAATAAGGACATAGTTATTTAAACAGCCACAAGCCCACGAATTATATTCATAATTTCATAATATATTTACTTGGGTATTACATGGGTACTATCTATCTGTTGTTAAAATTTAAAAGATATTCTGAATAAAAATGTATTTTTAATATGTAGTTTTTTTGTACCTACTTCTTTATTTAAGTTACTTCTTTATAAATTATTAAATATTATTATTGTGAAATAATACTACAGTAACCACTTTTACACTCAAATTTAAATTTATGTGATCCCTGTTGGGTATGAACTATGATTAGAGTTTTTTAATATATATGACATTTTATAAAAAAATAATTAAATAGGCTTTATATATTTTCTTTAATAATATTTGTTTAATATAAAAATCGGTAGATTTTCACAATTTTCCTACGTTTTTCCCAGTTGTCCCGTGTTTTATCTTGATTTTTCATATTTGCTGGAAAACCTCCTGAAAATACGAAAAATTACCTCTAAAGTACCTCTCTAGTGAAATTTCCTTTTAGAAAAATTACTGTCAATATAAATTAGAGCAAAATTTTTGGTATAAAAGTTGTGCACAGAAAAAAAGAAGGCCGTAATATATTTTAATTAATACCTACATTTCTTACATTCTCCTGTTTGTTTTCGGTTTTTCAAATTTGATGAAAAAACTCTTGAGTAAATCGAAAAATGACTTCCTTAATGTATCTTTTTACACCAATTTCCTTTCATAAAAGGTGCTACACTTAGAAATCTGAGCAAGTCTTCTGGTAGAAAAGTTTTGTTTACAGATGAAAAAAAAATAAAATAAAAAAAACATCTTTGTAAAACCATAATATCATAAGTTTCCTCGCTCCACTCAGAATCTAAAATATAGGTATTTAACTTAACTGAGTTAACAAATATCATTAACTTCTTATCTTTGCATATTTATAATTATACATTATTTTGATTTAAAATAATAAACACAAATATTTTGTAATAAAAATATCAAAAGCACCAACAATAAAGGTCAATTAAAACCTCTAATTAAACCAAAAACTATTACATTAAAACACGTAAGTTTTAACTATTTAGATTGTGGTAATAATAATTAAGTATAATGCACAAAATATGTAAAATAATTTTTGATTATAACAGCTATTTATTTATTTTAAAATTATAAAATCAAAACATTATTGATAAACAAAGACATAAACACTTTGGCATTGTATAGTAACAAACACAAACAATGTTATATAAAATGGACACGTTTTTATAATACGTTGACTATTGTCGAATGTAAAAATAAAAATATTATTTATTTAAGTATGATTGATGAAAATCCATTTATTGCATTAATTGATTACAAAAATATGATCATGCATTATATGCAAAATCCGGTCCTTATTTATGAGTATTAACAACTATTTTTACCTTGTATTAAATAAATAACAAACAATATTTATCATACATAAATAGAAAAAAACTTTATAGTTTTAAATTAATTTTTGTATCTAATTAATAATGTTAGTATATACTACAAATAATACCATTAATATTCAAATATTAGATTAATTTTTTTTCATTTGACGGAAATGGGAATCGACCAATTTTAAGATTTGACGGAAAAGGAAAAGGTACTTTTTTGGCGGAAACCGCTTGTGCCCGTATGGCTTCACCCGACACAATTATCCTATAGGACGTCTTTTTTAAATTTTTTAACCATTAACAAATTTTATACCAAAAATCTTTTTGGCTATTGAATGACTGATGATGGTGGTGCGTCTATTATCACCGCAACGTAGAGCGGTGTGTCACAGAGTGAACCAGATCGGATTTTTTTGAAAGTTTAAAATATATTGACGGTAATCGTAAAAATCACAACATTTCAAAAAATGTCACAGTTTTATCCAGAATCATATTTCATTAACAATGATTAATATAGTTGCATACAAATATAAATTAAATAACTATATTATGTATCCTCTACCTTCCAAAAGTTCCACTCACAGGTGCACTCATCTTGAATATAAACATTTTGTTTTGTTTCGCATCACAAAATGGGTTTCGACAATAAATTTGTTTTACATTTTTTGTTATTGACTAAAACTGTTCTTCTCTGGACCCAGGAAATTTTATTTTTTTTTTCCTGGGATAAACATATTTTAGTGCCATAATATTTTTTTCAGGAAAATTCAACAAAAACACTACTAATTTTACTTTACTGAGAATCGTTTTTCGGTTGTATTGATTATGCTATATATATATATCACTTGACCTTCCCAAATACGCCTATATGTACAACAGTGCAGCGGGCTATCCACGGTACCCATGTTTGACTTTTAAGATGTTATTTTTCATCAGAAACACTATTTGTTTACCTAGTCAATGTGTTCCAACATTATTCAGTGTTTACCAGCTATCGTACCTAAAAGATTCGGGTTTTTAACAAGGTGGTAAATACTTGATTTGAGTTTCATTTTAAAAATGTTTCTAGATTCCTAATAGTTTTTCGAACAAATTATAAATACTAACAGTAAATGCCGATACATTTCGGTTTTATTTTTACTCATTTCCAGGTTAGATAGGTACCTAAGTCAATCTACCTTACACGATAAAAAAACACACCACTTTACCAGTTTACTGGGCTCCACTCAGCATCGTTTTTTGATGAAATATCGTGGCTTTCTGTATCTACGTTAGGGTGGTTCTTATTTTAGAAATTTCAAAATTTCATTTTATAGATAAGTATAATTTTTTTTTTTATTACACAACACAAGATAGGCAGGTGTCCCGGAGGAAATTTTAAAATTGGCACAATATGATCACCCTAATCTTCATAAACTGAATTACCATAACATATTTTATTTAGTGTATACTTACCCGTGTAGGTACGAAGTACGACCAGATTTTTAAATTGCATTGTTATAGCCAACATTATCATTTTATCAGACCCATATATTTTAGTTGTGAACGAACGAGAATGAGATGACGTATAAACATTTTGAAAAGTAAAAGGAACATTAAATTCAGCGAGCTGCTGCACTTGCGATCATGCCAGACAATAATTTATCTGACGTACAAAAAAAAGATTTCTCTATTCTTAAGTAATTTATTGACGTGCGATAATAATTGAATAATATTTGTATTTTGTAGTTTGAATTTTTTTTTTTTTTAGAAGTAATAAAGAAGTTTATAATATATTTCTAAACTACGAGTATTATTAATTGTTTAATGTACACGTTTATAACTAAATTTATTATAATAAATCTCGAACAATAGATGATCAGATCAAACTATGTATACATATACTGCAGTAATACACTATGTTCAGCATACATTAGGTACGTTATAGTTAATTTATTATTATTAACGATTATTACGATACAATAACAATTATATTAATATTATGTTGTTCTTAATATCGAGGTAGACTAATTTTATACTTATACTGAACAATTGTTCCAACAAGAGATTTATCGATATAATATAATACCGCTGCATTTGCTTTCTCTATACGTGCGTGGTACTGATATCGTCTAGCCGGATTAAATTTAGTTATTCAATATCATACTGCAGTATGCCCGTATAGGAGTGGTAAATTCTTTTTGATATTTTTACGCCCCGATATTTATTATTTTTTTAAATTTTTCGGTTAGTTTTTGGCCGGTCGGCAGTGGCAGTATTTACACAGGCGGGCGGCAATCGTTCGTCGAGCGCCAGCGCGTCGCAAACGGCCCGTGTCCCGCCGGTACGCGGACCGTATCGCTGTCGCTCGTCCGTCCGACGCAGCCGCCGTCGGTGGCGACCATCCGTTGTGGCCCGCCAGGATTTATCGCCTCCGTTATTATTATTATTGCTATCGTGCGACATGACGTGAGTTATTCGTCTTCGTCGCGATGCGTATATTTCGGGAATCGCCGTCTGTCGCGTCGGGTATTGTTCTCGGGTTTATTTTCGTGCGCCACCGCCTACAAAAACTATCATTACGACGGATCGCGGGAAACGGGAATGGTGACGGTATATTATCGTATGACCATTATGTAATACTACACAATCGTCTATAATAATATTATATTGTACCTGTGTATATTAATTATTATTATCGTACTCAAATACAAAACGAAACGTAATATTGTATTATTTACATGGTACGCCGATACCAATTGTGCGATACGAGAGGATGAGCCGTTTATTAACGAACGCGGCGGAAAGCAAAACCAAACCGAACGGCCGTATAGGTACGCGCGGGTCGGCGATCGTTCGGCGCGCCGGAGAAAACCGGGCCGCGGTCGTAGCGACGATTGGCGGCGGAGTTTCCGGGCGGTGGGCGTGGCCCGGGCGACACGTCGCGTTCCAGCCTCCCGCGTCGACGGGCACCCGTTGAACCGTGATCGCCGGAGCGGGGTCTCCCAGCACACCCGGACGACTCCCACCTAACGCGGCGGTTACTGGTCCGCAGCCGCCGCCCGCAACGATATCGTACCGAGCGTACCGACCGGCGGCGGCGGCGGCGGCGGCGGCGGCGGCGGCGGCGGCGACGGCTACGCGTCAGTGTCGAAACGTCGTCGTGTCCGCTCTACACACTGTCGTGACGCGCGCGCGCGCGTTATTTGAACCGCGGCGTTACCATCTACCGGTCGTCTTCGGTTTTCGGTCGCGCGTAGCCGTATAATATAATACACAACGCTACAACTGTCGATCGCCGCGATTGTCGTCAAACGGCACATTGAAACGTGTTCTAATTAATAATACCGTCCGCGACGGGCGCCGCGAGTTTTTTTTAAAAATATCGCGTACAGGTATAATACTATACTGCAGTACAACGGAGAGAGTAAACGGACGTCCTGCACGCGCGCGATTTGTACACGGGCCGAGACCGCGGGGCGCCGGCGGCGGTTTATCTCTCGGACACGGTACGTTACGGACACGGTACGCTGCTCGTGAGCGCGATACGCGCGTTAGGGCGGCACGTAGCCGTGTCGTCGCGTCTTAACGGTCGCGCGCGCCTATACGCGATCGTCGCACCGGCGACGGCCACCGTACCGTAACGCGCCCCCCGACGCGGCCGGCAGCAGCGAAATTCGAGAAAATTGTTTGTTCCCGTATCGCCCGACATTTGTGCCGCTGCCCGCCGCAGTCTACGCGCGTCCCGCGAACGTGTTCGGCGCTCGTCCGCGCACGCCACCGCCGCCGCCGTTGTCCGATCGGTTTCCGCGCGGGCGAGCGCCGCGGACACGGGTCGTCCGTCATCACCCGCCGGCACCCGTCGCTGCGGCGGGACGACAGGACATTAATATGTCGTGAGTTGCACCGTGCAAAATAACCGGCGGCGTATGGACTTGCACCATCACCACCGACCGACAGACAATCATCGTTCAGGTACAGTTGTCCAGTATGAATTATATCCTATTCAAACATTAGAAAAAAAATATACTATAATAGCGACAGCGGTATCAGACGAAAGAATATTGCAGTGGCGCCCGCAGTGAGCACCCACTGACTGTATACTATTTTAAATATTCAATATAATTGATGAAGTATTATTTTACCTAACCCTAATATTTTTCTCGTGATTTTATATCCGTTTAAAAATAAATTATAAGAAAGGAAAAAAATTTACATACCGCAGTATAATAGCCCATAATAATTATTGTTTATGATTATAATTATGCATTATGATTTATACTTAATATGATTTAACGATAATATTAAACCCGTAAAAAAATATTGTAATAATAACAGTAGAATGTATACAGAATATTCAATGTAGTCGCATTTTCGATTTCCAAGTCGAACAAATTCGTTTAAAGGTGTGAGTAACCGAATAGGCATAAATAGATCTTCAATTTGAAGACAGAGTGACGAAATGAGATGAGATGAAATGAAACAATCGATTTTAGGACTACAGATCAGTGAGTGAAATGCCTCGAGTAAAATGATATCTTAAAATCATGATGTTGAATAATTTAAATTCGCAAAATGTGAAATTAAATGTACCAAAATAATCGCATAAATCTCATCTGAATATAAAAGATACCTACCCGAGTATAATGACAATAACCTTTATAATATCATGATTAGGGCAGCAGACATGTATCATTTGCATATGTATTTTCTTTTACACAATCAAAAATATGGGAGAGTAAGAAACAAACACGTACTATGTTTCGACAAAGCTCAATTTGTAATTTTATTTTGTTAACAAATGAATAATTTTTAATTTTTTCTGGTTTTAAGTCATATTTCTTTCATTTTATAACTTTTGAGGAACATGTCAATATTTTCCTGATCGGCGTTTTTATTTTATTTAATAATATAACCAAAATTGTTAAATATAAATCAATATTTACCATCATATTATAATATGGTTGTTGACTGCAGACGCACGTTTTTTCCTAAAAACGATTGACAATCACCGATAAGATAAATTTGTCTGTTATAATTTTATTTATAAACAGTAAACACGTTGTCTATATCCTGAAATTTCCGATAGGACGATATCAAAATATTAATATTTATTAATTAATAAATCATTCATCATATTGTTCTATGAAAAATAAATAAAAATAGTAACCTAAAATCAATATAAATTTCTACAAGGTACCACTATTAACGTAATTAACTCATTAAATCAATAAAAAGTTATTATTTAAAACTAAATTGCTGTGTAATTAACAAAATTGTTAAAAAATTATTTATATATTTCAACTAAAGCCCTAAAGAAAAAATATTAGAGCATATTTTTAGTGCATAATATTATAGGGGTTTTAAATACACGAGTGCTTACATTTTTAATTCATTTTTATAGAGCTACAAGTCTTCTGTCCTAATCAGGATAAATGTTTATTTTCGTTATAAAAATTAAAGTGTAGATATGGACCTATTCAATTAACATTTATTATTTTATTTATACTATTATTTAATTAATATTGTACGCGTTGTACCAATACTTTAAAATGATTTTATTCTTTGTAATATCTATCGAATCCAAGGCGGATCAGAATATAAAATCAACAAGAAATGCTTTTGAAAATTACTCAATTTGGATCATATTAAGCTACCTTCATTTTCAAATGTGAACGAAACATTGAATTTATTTTCAATTATAACAGATATTATTTTATAGTAAAGAAAATTATTTCTTATGCGAGTTGTATGACATAACAATAATATTTACAAGATGAGCTATAGATCAGTGACAACATTGACAACGGTGACTCGAAAATTCTTTTCATTACCAAATTATAAAACTCATGGAATGAGTCAGATGACTCTCTTTTTTTAAAACTATCTGGAGTAGTACGAAATTATAACTCTGTCTCTCACAAAATGATAAGACCGTCAAAGTTAATATCGGATTACGCTATTTTATTTATTTAATAATTATCATGAGATAGTGGTAATTATATTAAAAAAAAAGAAAACATAAAAAACTGATACTGGAGACAGCTAGGTGTGCTACTATTGTAGCTGGGAATTTTGAAAGGTAGAATACATAAAGTTATTTAATTTTTACCTGTAGGCAACGATAAACCATTGCTAATGAAAAAAAATTCAGAGCAAGTTCGGTTATACATGTTTTAATAGACCCTATATAATATAGACGATTTTCGTCAAAATTTGATATAAAACTCTTAAAAAAAATAATAATAATAATAATTTACCATCTAGTAATAAAATTAAAAATAAAACCAAATTGTATTTATCTTCCTCATTGACAGAAACCACTTTTAAAATTTAATTAAAAATCTACTTTCATCATAATTTTCATGATATTGGGGGGGGGGGTTTAATCATTAAACCCCTACCCTTGTACACGCTCCTGGTAAATAGTATGATTATTATTACATTCGTGTGATCATATTATGAAAAAAGACAACTATAATTTTTTTTAATTACTCTTAGAGTAGAGAAGCAATTAATTTGCATCTTGGATAAAAATGGTGGGGTAGCAGTTGTTATTCCTCGCTACCCCATTATGACGCCTATGCATGTCATCGAAAATCTAATTTAAATTAAATTTCTTTTAAATGTAGTCAAAAACGTAAACAATTTACGTTATGCATAATTGTAAATTGTTAATAGATATTTGTATTTTGTATCATAGTATTACCCAAGGGGAGTTTTATTGTTTTTCATATTCTATTAAACCATTTTTACTCGAAATTCGATAACAAAAAAATTATTTTTAAAATGTTACCATAAATTTATACTCTCATATGTACACGCGAGTACCAAAAAAAAAAAGGTTTGTGGTTGGATTTCATCGATGGCATAATAACTAATAGCCACACTATAGTATAAATATTTACGTCGTGCATGTCTTATTTATATTTGAAAACAATTAAGAACTACTTATATAAAAACGTTAATAAATATTTACATAGGGCACTAAATGTACATTGCCTAAGCGAATCTACGACGCAATGTTGCTATATGTACCGAACATATTTTAATAATTGCTTCGAAAAATGTGTGCCGAATTCCACGGAGAACGCATTTTTTATCGGATTTTACGTGGCTTGAGCATGGTAAATTTTTCATTTTCGCTGTAATTTTCTATATATAGTCTTTATATATATTTTTTTTTTTCATAAATACTCATGACGTTCAATTAAAACTAAAGTGAAAGGACAAATTACAAATAAAAGACAATTTTTATATAATTCGTTTTTAATCTAAAATTATTATTTATAATAATACATTAAACAATTAAAATTAAACCTATATGTATGTAATTTTCAGCAAAAATATTTTATACATTTCTGAATCTATTGCATGTGACAATATCTCTTTCAATATGGAGTATTGACAAGTTGGTCAACCTATCATTGGCAATTTTGTTTTTAATCCAATTCTTTGGATTACCGGTGATTCATTTAAGTGTACACTCATTATCTCGGAAAGTAGGTCTTCATTTTTTTCGGATTTTGTTTTCTAGTTCTTTCAAGAAACAAAAACAAACAGCTCTAGAATTTTATATTTATATTATTTTTTGTCACCTTGACGACTATGGATAAAATACGACCAATAATACTCCGCTCAGAATTATTAGCAACATAGAAAAGAAAAAAAAACCGCCCGAGGCGCCTTTTGCCTCCCCCCTATTTTAACATGACATTGATCGTATATAATACGTTGAAATGTTGAATGACGAACGTGTTTCGTATATACTTCCGTATAGATTAGGTCGGGAAATATTACTACAGCGTATACTCGTATCCGAGATAATATAAATGTTTGTACGCGGGCCACTATAGTTAATTGTATTTAGGTTAATTAATATTACGTTTATAGTGTTTAGTATTTAATACAATAATAATAATTATCATATTAATACGGGCGTTTGTGATGTACACCTGCAGTACGATAACGCGTGTTTATTTTCTTTGACGGTGAAATTAATATCGCTATATACGCACAGAAATGATAGCCGTCAACCGACCCAGTGTAGTTTGCACCGAGACCGGATGCCGTCTGTGTTATTAAAAAATCCATCACCGGTGGTGTACATAACATAATACACAATAATATATACTGGGTATACTCGCATCGCAAGTACATATAATATATTATTTATGTATGGTTATTATATATTTACATCGTACGATGAATCGTGTCGGTGCGGTGAAAAAAATCGCGACAGTCTGTCTGTAAAAAACGCTTAGGCGGTGCGGCGGCGGCATCGGCGGCTTTTTGTTGTTTTACAATAATCGCCGGCAGACTATATATTATAGTATTGTAATATTATAAAAACTATAGTACGTATAATTAGAAATAATATTGTAATCAACCGACAGCCTCTTATCGCGGTATTATATATACACGCGCCAAGACCCGCGGATGATAATCATAATTTTATACGTACCAATATACCTATACTGTATTATACCTATATATTTTAATATATATATATGTAAACACCGACGATGACGACTAACTGGAGTACAATATGACGGATGATTTTTTAAGCATACTCGTTCCATTCTGAGCGGATGGGAAAAATCGGAAAATTCACGAAATTTATTATTTTCAATTTTAATTTTTGTAGTGATTCAGTTAAAAATATTTATATAACGATTTTAAAATTGGACAGAAAACTTATATTTGCCTTTTCTAGACGTGATAAAAGTTTTTAAAACATTTAGCCATTTTTGAGCTATTTATATAGATATTTTAATTTTGCGAATTTTTTACGTAATTTTTATTCGGTAAGTAATCTGTGGATAAAATTGTGGAACCAAACAAAAATGTTTAAAAAATCAAATAAAAAATTCATTAAAGGTCGTATTTTGTGGTAAAAAAAATTGAGTGTATGTAGACATTTTTACATGAAAATTTTAGTATCAAATTTTGATGTAAATCGTAAATGTTATACGGCTTTTCAAAACATGTATAACCGAACTCCGCTTAGAATCGTTTTTCATTAGCAGAGATTAATTATTGTGTATATAGCGATGTATATTAAATTCCTCTCTATATTATGCTACTTTCCTAACTTCTCACTTACAACATTGGCCCACAAATCATGTGACATATCTCTATCTTTTTATGGAATTTTTAAGTAGAGTTAAAGCCGATATTTTCGAATACTTACATTTTTCACAGCATTTAAGGAGTATCCTGTGGCGATAACAACTTTGGTTTTTCAAATGAGAACCAATAATAAAAATTTAATAAATAGACGGAGTATTAATTAGATTAAATTTTCGTGTCAACATTTTTGATATCCGTCAATCCGTTTACAAAATATTTCACTTTTAATTTAAGGTAGGGGAAGAGTTGTAGTTGAGCATTAATAAAACGTCGCGTACCGTGTTGCAACACAAATAATACTCCACTACTTTCCCCCTATCTAAAATTAAAAATGAAATATCTCGTCTACAGGTAGATAGAAATCAAAAGTTTTAACACCAAAAATTTATTTAAAGTAATACTCCATCTATTTATATAATTTTTAATATAGGTTCTTATTTGAAAAACCAAAATTGGTATCGCCACAGGATACTCATTAAATGTGAAAAATTCGAAAATATCGGCTTTAACTAAATATAAAAATTCTAAATAATTATAATTTGAATGTATTTAACTAAACAAATCGGATGAGCACGTTTAGTGAATCACCCTGTATACACAATTAGGTAGTGAAACGGGTAATTTCTTCCGGATTACGTATTGTATGTGCGAAAAAATAATATGTGGAAACGCAATATTACCCGATAGTGACGTGAGGGTTATCCGTATTTTATGAATATGACGATTTTTTTCCATTTTCCAAAATCTAAATTTATATAAATCCATTATTTAAACATAAAAATGGAAATGCATATTAACTACACGAATTATAGTATACATACTATATTGGTATATTAAATTACTATACTTTATTATTTATTGTAAAAGCACAATAATTGTTTTTAATTTTCAAACAATGATATATTTTATAGATTTGCCTTTTGATTCCGTTGCGGATTGTGTCTAAAACCACTCGTCGGTCAATCACAGATAACCTTAGCAATAATTAATTAATAAAATGAATACATCATTATCGTTAAAACAAAACAAATGTTTGAAATATAAATACTGCACAGGAAAAATATTATAATAGGCGTCGACAAAACACTAACTTGCGGTCATGAGAAAATTGCTAAGAATGTCTAAACAAATATATATTATTAGATAAAATGAACGATTTTTTTTTTGTTTGATTTTAAAATATTGCCATTGTGTGTACCACAGAAACAAATAAACCGAACAATCTATACATAATTAGGTACCTATAGTTACCTATGATATTTCTCAGTCGTATATTTTATTGTTTTGTATCAACATCGTATTGTTTTTGCACCTAATATTGTTGAATATATTATTAAATACGTTTAATGTTAGTTTTCATAACAGTGACGGATCCAAGGAGGACCTAGGGGCCAAGCCCCCCAGACATATTATGTTTCCGATATTCTTTTTACAATTCTATAGATCCTGATATTACTGTATTCCAATCACTGATATGTATGAGAAAATAATATACATAATAAATTTAATTATATTTTAATTGTATTTGTGTTGTAAAACAATTGTTGCCCCCCTCCACAGATCTTTGCTCTGGGTTTGTTCCTGTTTCAAAAAATAGGCTCTAAATTAATATCCGATAAGCAAAAAAAAAAATGTCACGATACTCGGAACTATTGAAGTAATCGTATTCGAAAAGTGTTTTAGTTACTTGTTTGCTTGTGCATTCAATATACATATTTTATGTAACAATATTCGTTATATAGCTATAGCTCCAAAACTTTGGTGTATAAATGTTTGGTGTAGGCCGCAAGGTTGAAATACAAAACTAATCTATCTAATCACTTATGGCGTGAAAAGGGAGAGAGGTAAACTTGAGTTTACACGTCTTCTTTTACATGTAGACTACCATAAAGTTTACTAAATGGGTGTACAAATTAATTTTGTCTCACATTTTTGAAATGTCACTGTTTACTTATACTATTTATCAATTTATGAATAGATATTGCGGCAGCGGAGAATTATCGCGAAAAAATTATTGTCGGTTAAAACGTGAAAAAAAAATATGAATAAGTGTAGATAATAACTGTGTCGATCTGTTACTATTACCTAAGTGAAAATCTATAATATTGTGATCGGAGTGTTAACCAACCACCTAAGATATACCTAGGTAAAGTTTTTTAATTTTCTTCCGGCTTTATCTTAACCCGTAATAGCTTTTCGTTATTATTAGGTTCGGGGACCAATTAGTTATGTCTTGTACAACATCCCAAAACACCTTAAACCAACTCTGTGCAATTACGAGTCGGTTCGGGGCAAACACGAATATATGGAGTCTGTAAATACACCGGTGGCCTACTGTATCTGGTACCAAATGATTATCGCAAGAGATACTTATGTATCATAGTATGTATTGCTCTATGAAACTACAAAACGCTCTTTAAAAAAAAAAATATATATATATATATATAAAGTAATTACCTGATTGTCATAAAACATTTTACAATGTTCGACAATATTGCAATTTCTTGTTAGCATTCAAACAAAATACAGATATGCGTGGAACTAACCTGTAACAAAACGAGCGTCGCACAACAAACTTTTGAAAACGAATGCAAAATGCATTAAAACCCTGCCTTAGTTATTATTATACTCTTGCAGTTATTCGACGCACATTATTGTACAATAATGCGCGCAAGAAATGACGGCATTTTCTATTCTTCCTTTCCAATTTCCAAATTCTCCGGGAAGCTCGGAGAAGAGCACGCGAGTAGAAAAAAAAAACGGTTTTTAATTTCTTCAAAGAGACCGCTGCGTTATATTAGCGCGTGTTTACGTTTCGTAATTAGACGTAGGCGTACAAAACACACACACATACATACGGGAAATAAACGCAATCGTAATAATCATAATCGCGTGTGTAATCATTTATAATTATAGCTTCGGCCGTCACAGATTTGTCGTCGTGGATGTTTTGGCTTGAAGCCCTAACGTGATTTTTGTTTTTTTTTGTAGTTTTTATTTTTTGGCTATTACACGCTGCCACCGCCGGCGTGGTGGTATAAATATAAAACCTTCGGAATGTCTATATTATAATATGTATAATATGCCTGAAAAGCGCGTGCGTGTACACTAAATATTAAATTGAATTTGGAATTGTTGTCAATTTGTCCGCATAAATTTACCAATACGTAGTCGTTGTTGTTTTTGCCACTCGTTTACATTCAATAATATTATTTATGTAAATACGGATGCGTTTACGAACTTCAGGCAGACGGAAACCGGGAAGGAACCGTATCGTTTGAGTCCGATAAAAATTTACCTACAGTTTATATCAAAAAAGATACGAGAGGGGGACTTGGAGTATTTGATAGATTAAGAAGAGTTTTTTAATTTAATTTAAATTTTTTTTTTACTTATTAGAATATACTTCTGCCGTTTAATTTAATAATATACTCACTCAGAATAATGAACCTTCGGATTCAGGGAAAAAGAGCTAATGTCGATGTTGTATAGTTTTCAGTACAAATTAATTCAATTTTGAAAATACATAAACTATACACCAAATAAAAGGAAACAAATTAAATAAGACAAAATTATGAAAAAAAAAAAAATTTAATTTCTTTCTTTCTTGAGAAGAGAGATAAAGGTACCAAAAAAATATGTGGTTATCTTTGTGAAACAAAAAAAAAAAAAAATAATAACCAATATTGGTGATGAGTGTGTCACTCTTGTGGGTGAATATGTCGAGAAAATAGGATATATAATGTTATTTAATTTATATTTGTATGCAATAATTAATCATTGCTAACAAGCTACAATTCTGAACAAAGTTCAGAATCGTTTTTTGAATTGCCGTAGTTTTTACAATTTTCATTAAAATATAAACTTTAAATGCATATAAATAAAAAGACTATATTATACTCAAATAAGTTGTTTTTTTTTGGACCACTAAGTACAACTTTTGATGAATATTATGTAAAATAGCCTATAAATAACATTTGACCACGTCTATATATAAGCAGTGGGGCAATTTGATAATAAGGAGCCTATGTGAAAATTTCCAGACGGGACCCTAAGTACCTGCTAATAAAAATTAAAAACAGTCATACTTTATTATAACAACACACTAACATAATTATGCATAATAATATAAGAAGTTTCTATTATAGTCTATATACTCTGTACCTACTCACATTCTGATGTCCGATACCTATAAAGTATACGGCTATACTGTACACAGGTTTCTCACATATGTACTCGTAAGTCGCAATTCAATTTATCTAAACTCAAAAGAGTAGACATTATTATTCATTTTTATTAAAAAAATAATATAATATGTGTATGAGAGAGGGGGGCACATTGAGATAACAGATAACAGAGAATAAAATCTAGTATAGTAGGAATATCGTACATGAGATCTCGGGGTCCCCCAAAACCGAAGGCACCTGTGAATTGCACACCCAACACTCCCGATAATTGCGCCACTGTGTATAAGGCTAATATAATTATTCTCTGATAATCTCAGAACTACGATTATTTTTAACCGAATTACAACAAAAAAAGGCTGATATACTTCGCACGATAGATTCACTGATGTAGAAGTTAGTAAGGTAGGATATAGAGGATAATTTAATTTATATCTGTACGCAACGATAAACCATTTCTAACGAAAAACTATTCGGAATGAAGTTTTTTAGATACATCTACGTACATTTTTCGATTTTTCCTACGTTTCTTCCAGGTTTTTCCCCAACCATTATGAAAACCGAATGGAAAATCTAATACGGTGTATTAACACCGTTATATCGATCCAATCCGATTCGATAGCCCGACTAACATATAACAGTCTTATATACTCATCCGAAATTTGTGGCTACATTATTTCCGATTTCGTGCCAATTATTATCTACTCGGACATATATTTATATTAGTATAAAAAAAGAAGAAAATCGAATCGATATGTTTCTCTCCTGATGTATCCGACTATAATTCTAATTATTATATTATTTTAAATTTTCTAAGTATTTAAATTACTTTCTTTTTATCATAGAGTGATCAGAGGAAAAAACTATTTTTCTAATTGATTAAGTAAACCTTTATTATGGGATCCTGAACACAGTAATCTTTTAAAAAAAGGACGCATGGAGGGAAATAGCCGCTGCTATACTGGAGAAGTGTATCGATGACTGCAAAAGGAAGGTTGTTTGCTTGTTGGCAAGTACTAACGTTACTGAGACGTGGCTGTTGGTACTGGACCTAGGTTCATTGTTGTAGGTTCGTTGTCGGTATTGATTTGCGAACGGATCGAAAGTGTGTACATGACATTAACGATACATGATACGAACCCTTCGCGAGCGGTTCGTGGTAGGTTCGACTTGCATATATATACGCGGCTTAGGATTGAGTTTGATCGGTTCGGAAACGACTCTAATGTAGACGAAGAGCTAGATGTATTTTATCTGAAAATATATTTTTGGAAAATATAGTATCCGAAAAATATTCAATAGAAACGTATTTTATCGCAAAAAATATTTCAATAGAAAATATTTTAACCAAAAAATAAATTCGTCGAAAATAATCGTTATCTTATCACAAAGCATATATTGTGTATGATACTAAGATATTAGATAAATAGGTATGTAGTGTCTATGGAAGACGTATAGATAGTGTTTAGTTCGTCAAGAAGAGAGAGCTCTTGTAGTGACGACTCGAGTTCTTTTATGATCATAATTCATAAAATCCATTAAATTAACCATAGCTTATAGGCTACAGCTTAATTAAAAATTAATTTATCCATACGATACGGTATATTATCTATAAAAAGTGACAGAAATACCTTAGGTATTCCTTATCTCTTTCCATCACACTGTTTTTGTGATAAGTTAACTAATATTTTTCGGTCAAAAGACGTTTCTGACAAAATATTTTTCGAATAAATTATTTTCCGACTAAAATGCTGTTCGGATAAAATATTTTCGGATATTTTACGAGTTCCCATGTGAGCTACCTATAATAATAATAATAATATTATTATTGCAGACTGCAGGCATCCGTCGACCCGACGTGAATTTGTATAGGAAGGGCGGCGACGGCCTGTAATCGCGATGTTTGCCATCGTTTGTTTGTCGATTTGTCTGCCGCATAATAAACACGACGCCGCCGCCGTAGGAATAACAAACAGCGGTGACGGTAGCGGGTCGGCTATTAGCCGCGGTAGCGCGCTCGTTTACGGATAAAAACCTTTTTCGCTCGTTCGTCGCGCCCGGAAACAAATAAGAATCGCACGCAACATAATCCGTCGAGCGGATTACCCGTGCCCGGGACGCGTACAACATTATAGGTAAAGAATAATATTTACGCGCGCCTATAAAATATCGGGAACGGGGGTCGGGTCCGTCGTGGTCGTCGCCGTCGTTTTTCGAGTGCGGTTGGAAGACGTCGATTCGCGAGCGGGCATACACCGCCGTTAAACGTCGGGCGCCGGAAGTCGAGTGTGTGTGTATATAATATTATATTTACACGCGGATCGCGTGCGTGCGGATACGCGGCGTTTTTAAAAGTGGAACTCGTCCCGGCGGCGGCGATGGCGACGGCGACGGCGATATATCAGAAGACGCGCGGAAAGATTCCCCGAGTATCGTTTGTGTATACCCTAGACGCCGCCGTCTGTGTAGCCGGGTGCGGTGTATACGGTAGTAACGCGCGCGCGTATATTACAATATGTAGCGCGTAACGGGGACCGAATATAATTATAATTCGTAATAATAATTGTAGTAATAATCGTAACGGGGATCCCCTCCGCCCCGTCGTCGTGCGTATTGTACTCCGCGGCGCGCAAGTCTCTTTTGCAGTGCCGCGGTGCGCGAAAACACGTGTAAAACACGGCGGCAGCGGTGACGGCAATAAACGAGACGCGTACGCACGCGCTCTGGAGGAATAGAAGAGGTGTATTGTAATGTTGTGTATTACTGTGTGTATACGTATATAACATTACCGTCGCATCGTCGTCGTCGTCGCCGTCGTCGTCGTGACGGTTATTGCGGTCGCGATATAAGAAACAAACCGGCTAATTATAATGTAAATGTGAAAATGAGCGACTGCCGTCAAAGGGACGACCGCAATTATATCGCCGGCTATATACTACGTGTATATACATGTGTATATATAATATGTGTCCCTTATACCCGGACCCGCTAGCCCCGAAGCAAAATATATCACTCGCGCGCACACACGCCGCGCGACGTCTTTGTTCTAATGCCGCCTACGCCGCCGCCGCCACCGTCTCCTCCTCCATCCCCTCCACCACCACCTCCTCCTCCTCCTCCTCCTCCTTTCATTACTCTCCTACGCCCGTTATACGCCGCCGGGCCCCGAGGTTGTCGTCAAATTAGTTTGGTCCCGCCAGTGTATAACATAATATATATATATATATATATATATATACATATACATATACGTATTACATACGTATTACATACGTATACGTCGTGTATACGCGAGAGAAACACAAAAAACTCGTGTACACACCGGCGGCGGCGGCGGCGGATAGAGAGACCGGCGGCTCCGTCGCGGCAGTAGATCACGTCGCCTGTCTAAAATATCGTATTTTGTGTACACGTATATATACATACATTATTATTATTATTATTATTATGCGCCCGTCGTCGTTTTGTCGCCGCCGCCAATTAATTATAATTATCTCGGGTGTTTAAAAAAACTTCCGTTGTATTTTCGTTTATCCGGCGGCCGGCCAGCCGCGGTACGGCGTATCCTCCCGAACCCGTTTCCGCCATCGTCGTCGTCGCCGGTGTTCCGCAGGTTCCGGCGCACGTTTTCCGGTACCTACACATATTATATACGTACCGGTAGCGTTTACAGTATACGTACGTGAAAATAAAAATTTTAAAAAAACATTAGGTACCGCGACGGAGTAAACCCATAGTATAAGTAGCGTATATTCATACGCCCGACGCTGATACGGTTTTTTAATGCGAATTGTCCGGGTTCGGTGATTCGCGTCCCGAAAATAAAATGTTAAACCAGAACTAGGCGAATTGCGGCCCGGATATTTTTTACAGGTAGGTGAATTGCGTCCCCGAAATATTTTTTATTTATATGTACAATAAATGCATAAAATACACATTCAAAACTTGCATTGCAACAGATGAAAATTTCCCTCCAAATTTACGGGCTGAATTTGCACCAACGACAAATCGGACAACCAACTTTATTGATTTTTTAAAAAATATTCAGTTTGAAACATACATGAAAGTACGGAGTAACGGACAAAGAAAATCCCGTCAAATTGTCGAAAAAGAAAATTATATACGAGAAAAAAATGTTTGATCATAATAATAAATTATTGACCAGATTCGATTACATCAAAGCCAAACGGCTATTTTTATTTAAATATTTACCTTTTTAAAATATATAACCTGCAAATTACCTATTATATAAAACAGGGTCACAATTCACCTAGCTTTATGAAAATGGGACGCAATTTGCCTAACGCCGAATTGTTGGCGTACACCGGGCACGTTATCCGGTCCACCGGATTGAATAATAAATGGTAAACACGTCACGGTTTTACACGACGGGGCCGCCGGGCTAGTCGGACCGCTGTCGCGGGCATCCGAACGCGCGTCGAAAGCGTTTCGAGTCGTGTAGACCAGTTCCTTTCATTCAACCGCCAATGGCTCACCCCGATTTGCCTTTGACCATTGGCGAAACGACTCGTTCGTCGGATTCGCGTCGTGTAAACCCTCGGTCTTACAGGAGATTTGCTATAGGGAGTAAATACGAGACAGCAAGGAGGCCCGAGCACGGGAATACGAATATAATGCCCCGTTTACATTCAGCCCATTTCCGCGGCAGTGAGCAGAGAAGTGAGCATGAAAGTGGACAGCGCGAGTATGTATAAACACGTCAACCGCGCTAACCGTACGCTCCTCGGATTGTCGCTGCTCTACGTTCCCGTCAACAGCGGTGAATTGAGCAGTGCGAGCAACAACCTAATCGGCACATATTAGCAGGGCAGTGTATATAATGTGAACTGCCTACGACGCTGCCACTGAAGCATTTACGGAATTAAACACACCAACGCGGCGGAGCTACGGCAATGGCTGAATGTAAATGCGATATAATATTATATAAAGCCGACTCTACGTTAAATTGCACGTACCTAAAATGTGATTTTATATACACTTCTCGTGATTCACGCGTATATATGTCAACGTAGTCGTGATTAACCGTAATGAAACCGTCTCATTGTTTTTCCGTTATGCGCGCGCCCGACACGCTTCCGAATTCGGAATCCCTACACCGATCCGGCGTTACTGCAATACTGTCCGTCCGGAGTAGGCAGTTTTTACGGAAATAAAATTAGGGTAGGCGTATAATATGACAGTAGGCATTGTACAATATATTTTTGGCGTGTCTCCTCTGCATTGCACCGTCCCTATTCGCAAACTGGCGTACCCTCCTCGAGCCATGTTGTAACGTGGAGTGGTCGGACTATATATACTCCCGCGCATTTTCCGACGGCAGCTGCGCGTAATATTCTTTTGCTCGTCGGGTCAATAATTAATGACCGACGACATCGCCGCCGCCGCCGTAGTCTGCAGCAGATATGTACGGGTCCGCCCGGCACTCATTATAATCCCAACCTGATTCTCATTATGTCTAGTCTTCGGTCGGGGCACAAGGGTTAAAACGTATAAACGCCGGCGACGGACGCATACAGCTGCAGCCCCGGTCCCGTGTCTTGTTATTGTAGTAATATTCATCGTCGGTATATCGCATTATATTCGGGTATCTGTAAATATAGCCGAAACTGTGCAATATAACATTGGCGAGTTCAAAATTAGAACACTGTTTCCCCCAATTAGGCTAGGCCAGGTCTAGTCGTGTTTACCTATAAATAGTTAGGTATATTCTTAAATTTGTTATTATGTACGCTTTTTCGGATGATATCGACACATTATGTTGCTTACTCGCATACTATGACTGCGTATTTCATTAGTTCTTAGGAAGAAGGGCCAAAGTCAATTTATTATGTACGAGTTTCGTAACACATGTTACACCGAAAATTAAATTATCTTTAGTCACTATGGACTATGGTTACTTATAGTAACTTTTGGACTTATGGTAACTTTTTGTTTGACAAACAATTAAACCATTTAGGCTATGAAGTATACGTAATGTAGCTGTTAAGAAATTGTGTCAGTATGCCAATTAGTAGTTTTCAATATTGAAATCAATACAAAATTGACTTAAGTCCTTCCCTGGGACCAAAGACATATTATATATCATAGGTTTTATTCGGTGAACTTAATTTAGGCAAACACACTCGGAGGATCACAGAACTACGGTATAATGTCTGATTTGCACTTGATCATTATCAAAATAGTATTGAACATAATACATAGCAAAATGTGTCATTAGCCGAATTGTTTTTTTTTTTTTTTTGAAGTTTAGTAATTTATCAACTAAAGCTTAGATAAAAATTAGAAATTCGACTATTACTTTTTTATTATAAGGCAATAAAAATTTGTTGCTAGTGGAATTTAATTGTCTATTATTTGGACATTATAATCACGTAAAATATTATAGACACTTTGATTGAGTTCTTGTGCGGTAAAAATCGTAAACAAAAACACGTTATAATTACATTCATATAATTACGTTAAAAAGTTTTGGTTGGAAATTTAAACTATTATATCCGTTTAAATAAATTATAACTAATTATTATTAAATATTATGACCAATGTATGAAAACGATTTACTGAACATTTTGTAAACCGAATTAGTATATAATTTAGATATTTTATTAATTGATAAAACAAGAAATGGACATTTATTAAACAATGCAATAATAATTGACCATGCAATCTATAAAAAAACTGAATAAAATGATAATATTTCAAAAACATTATGTCATATCGTTATATGTTCATTCAATAAACCGTTTTTAAACGCTTGAAACAATTTTAATTTCTTAAATTACCTAGTATGAGAGTTTTAATTTTAAAAACGGTTTGATGTTTTTAAACCGTTCTAAAGTATTTATATAACAAGAATAAGTTAACTTATCCTAAATTTCAAAATGATTTAATTTAAAACTGTTTAAACGTCATTATTATTAGGTAATTAATGTATTAATAACTATTATACAATCATACCTACCTATATAGCGTTTGTGTATGTTATAAAATATCTATTTATAAATTTACTAATATAAATTACTAATAAAAACTGAAAAATAGCTGAATACCAATTATAATATAATAATATATTAATATAGGTATTATATTATATAGTCAAGCGTTTGCAGTTTTTTCTTACAAAATATCAATTGGATTCAAACTAAATTGATAATAGTTATTTTATAATACGATTATTTCATAGTACACTTGATACATTTTAATTAGAAAGTTCTGAGAATAAAAATAAAACAATAGTAAATAATACGTTTATTGCACAAGCATAATAAGACATATAGATTAAAAATTACTATCTAATAAGCTTTTATAATCAAATTTTTTTTTTTATCCATAATAGGTACTGTAGTTTTGCTTTTTTTTTGAAAATAATTTATTAATATATTTTTTAGAAGATTGCTCTATATGTTTTTTTGAAAACACTTTTTTGATATATGATAAGATCTGATATTTTCACGCAATTTGTGCATATATATTTTCACATTATAATTAACAAGATTCGTTTTCTAATGGATTTAAATATTGAATAAACCGAGGACAAAATTGGTTTTACTATTGATGTGTTTTTTTTTGTCTAAACAAATTTTCCACCAGAAATGTTGCTCCAATCCAAAAATTTATTGAAACTTCTTGTAGAATCTTCAATCTATTTGGTCCATTGAAGAGGTGGTTTATTTGTTTTTCCTTGTAGTTTTCCTAATAAATGAAAAAACTGACAATGTTTTATCTGAGTACCAAGGTAACAAGGGAAAAAATAAGCCTAATAACTCACTACTCAGAATCGTTTTTCATTAGCAGCGGTTTATCGAATAAATTAAATTACACTTCATTGTATATTCCCTCTTTCAATTTCCATATTAAAGCATTAGTACCCGCATTTTGCAATAATTTATCAATAATACATTCACTATATAAATGAAACTATAATAAATATACCTTGCAAACTTCCCACTTACTACAATGGCCTATTCATGATGCGAAGTACGTCCTACTTTTACAAATTATAATACAATTTTAATGATTTAATACGAATAAAAAGTCTATTTATGATCTATGGATTTGAACAAATAAACATTTTATACTAAAAAAGGGTAGGCTATGATTAGAGTAATTTAATTTATAGTTACAAGCAAAGATAAATCATTGTTAATAAAAAATATTTCTGAGCATAGTTTAGGGATAAGGTAATACGCTCTTCAACTTTTTTTAAAATTACTTATCACTAATCAACCTTATCGTAAAACTGCTATCATATTTGCTTGACCAAAACAATGTTTATCTATAAAAAACTAAAACAAAAAATCTAGAAAATGTCAAATGCCTATGAATAATTTAAAAATTGCCAAAATGTTTTGAACATTTTACTACGTCTATAAAGCATTATAATATACCTTAGTATCTTGTGCAAATTGCAGGTATCTACAATTATTTTCAACCAAATTCAAACACTAGGTATTGAAGATAATAAAAACGTTTTAGTAGTAAATTTTCTCGATTTTTCTGCGTTTTCTCCTAATTATTAAACTATGAGAAAAAAACACGCACACATACACACATAATATTATAATAGTAAAACCAATACACTCGCTACGTTCAAAATCTAAATGTCTATATCTATATCTATATCTAAATGTCTATTGATGGACAAGTTAATATCAGAACATTCTAAAACTCCGTCGGTTGTCGTCTACTATTTTCGACACATTTATTGGCGACACCTAGGGGTACGGTTGGACGAGGGAGTAAGGCTGTCGCTCGGATTTCTCGCGGTATAAACAACATGGCTCCCGCAATTATCATTTTATTAGTCGTCTTAAAATACTCGTGCAATATCCACGAGTCCATCCATTTCATTCCGAAAAATCTACATAGATATTTTATATGAATACAATATCTATACGTTTTCTATATCTATCGTTTATTTATCTATATGTGGTTTTCTTTTGTTATCTTATTCATAATCAAAGACAAGATTTCCCAAGTTATAAACTATTTACTCTATTATGATAAGTATAAGTTTAAGTATAGTTGAAATTAAATTCTTGAAATAAGTGAAAAACAGACTATATTGAAAAAAAATATAGAAAAAAAAATGGTGCTTTTTAAAATTTTTCATTTAATTAGACAATTTTTCTGGTAAAAATTGTCTAAAGAAAAAAAAATAACATTGTAAAACCATTACATTCCTCGCTCCATTCAGAATCTAAAATTTGAATAATAAATATTCTATACATTTAACAAAATATATTTAATTAAAATCCACTCAATTTTTCGTTTTCAATAATTTATCATTTTTTGTTATAAATGATACCCCACGAAGATTATACCAGCTGTAGTATTTAATAGGTAATCACTTTTAGTAAAAATCTTTAAAAAAAATAACTCTTTATTTTATTGTTTTTGAAAAATTTGAAGATAAAAGATAAAGGTTGTTTAAAAACTGTCCTCAAATCAAAGCCGTTAAAATTAATATAAACTTTAAATGTACACGTTCCAACCAGTTTCACAAAGAATAGGTAATTTTCAGAATATCTTTATCTTTTCAGAATAGTTTAATAGAAGTTAGTTCTTTTCTTCCAAGATATTAGGAATTTTTAAAGTTTATTTAATTTTCTTTCATATGTAAATATTACTTTCTGATAACAACAACCGAAAATATTTTGTCATATAATTTTTAATTTTTAACGAAAATAATTTTATTTTTAAAATTATATCGTAATTTTTTAATTATAATTTACACATAATATTATCAAAACACTATTATAGAAATCTTACTATATTATTTTTAAGCAATTTGTAAAATAATAAGATAAAATTAATAATATAATAATACTTATCAATAATATTTCATTGATTGTATATTTAATTTTTGATAATATGTGTAATATAGTACCTTATAATGTCTAGAGCTATACAAATCTTATTTTCGATAATTCCTAATTAATTACAATTATAGTAAAACAAATAATAGCAATGCAGATAAATATATAACATGTTATCGATTTAAACCAAAATACTTATTACAAAGTATTATTGATTATTATGTTATGAATATTTTATTAATAATTGAGGAGTAATAAATTATTTAGTAATTCCGAATTCGTGCATTATAAATAGTATTAATATACATATACGAGGTACGTCCAGAAAGTAAGTTCCGTTTTCTATTTTTATCGCGTTTGCGATGTTATCTTAATTACGGTCATATCCGATTATTTCATTTACTATTTGGAACATTTTAAAACCATTCCGTGACTAGATAGTGTACGTACGTCACGTGGCAAGTGTTTTAAAATGGATAAACGAATAGAAAATTCCGCCACATGTGAGTTACGATCTGTGATTCGTTTTTTAAATGCAAAGAATATCAAACCAGTTGATATTCATCGTCAAATTTGTGAAGTTTATGAAAAAAATGCGATGAGTGATTCAATGGTTAGGAGATGGGTGCGACTTTTCAATGAAGGCCGTACAAATGTTCACGATGAAGAACGAACTGGGTGACCATCTTTGGTNAAAAAAAAATTCATGAAAACAGAAGGTTCACCATGACGTCATAATCAATACATTTCCCTTAAATTTCCCGTTCTCTTCTTCATGAAATTGTGTCAATAAAATTGAATTTTCGAAAATTGTGCGCACGTTGGGTGCCGAAAATTCTTACTGATGAACACAGAGTGAAAAGTCAGGGTAGTGCACTTCAATTTTTGTCACGATACGAAGAAGACGGTGATAACTTTTTAAGCCGTATTGTCACAGGGGACGAGACTTGGGTTTCGCATGTCACCCCTGAATCAAAACAACAAAGTATGGAGTGGAGACATACGATATCGCCATCAACGAAAAAAAGCAAACAGACACTGACTACTCGAAAAATCATGTGCACGGTGTTTTGGGACAGACAAGGAGTTTTGTTAGTGGACTTTTTACCGCGTGGTCAAACAATCAACGCAAATTCTTATTGCGAGACGCTTAAAAAACTACGTAGTGCAATAAAAAATAAACGACGAGGTATGCTTAGCCGTGGCATTGTTTTCATCCACGACAATGCCCGCCCGCACATAGTAAATGTGACGAAACAACTTCTTGCAGATTTTGCATGGGAACAATTTAATCATCCACCCTACAGTCCAGATTTGGCACCCAGTGTTTTTCATCTTTTTTTACACATGAAATCATTTATGGGTGGCCAGAACTTCAACGAAGATGATGAGGTGAAAAAGGCTGTTAGCGCATGGTTACAATCACAGGCGTCATCTTTCTATGATGANGATAAGTGCTTAAACAATGGTGGTAACTATGTTGAAAAATAAAGTAATACATGTATTTTATATTCAAATAAAATTTATAATAAAATTTACACATTTACATGTTTTTATTGCCCAACGGAACTTACTTTCTGTACGTTAAATTTAATTTCAGCGCATTAATATTATACGTTATGTATTATATAATGTTTAATATAATTTTTACACATTATATATACAATAAAATAAATATTAGTTTTTTTTTTTTAAGTTAAGATTTATTATATTCTGTTCTCGAGATGATTTCTATATTTTTTTTTATAATAAGTACAAAATGGTTGATCGTATGCAAATATTTTACATAACTTATTTTGTAGGCAATTAAATTTTGTATAAAATGTATAAAAACGTTCTACATGATTTCCAATCGTTTATCAAATATACTCAAATAACTGTAAAAAAACTATTTTCCGAATAAACGAAATAAATCGTGTTTTATTTTTATTTCTTGGATAATAATGATTTTATCGAACAATGTGTAAATGGTTTTTTATAGGCAATTAAAAGATCTATCAAAAAGTCAATGAACAGTTTTACGATAAATACAATAGTTTTTTACTTAAATTCAAAAAAACCATAAAACTACACAATTTGGAAATTGTTCAACCCTCTTGCGGCACGTGAAAGGGTGAGTTATCAAAACCACTTGCAAAAACAAAAACATTATTATTAGCATAATAGGATAACACTGCGTAGTAACCCACACGAGGGCTGAATACTTAATCCGGTTAAATCCAAATTCCAGATTAAACGGACCGGATTGAAAAAATGATAAAAATCATTATAATCCGGATTACTATGATCGGATTGATGGTTTAATTAGGTATCTGGAATATGATTCAATTTTTAAAAAATTTAATTAATTTTACGGCAGAGTTAATATACTATCTATATTTTTCAGGGCCTAAAATAAATCAGATTTCAGGGTATACGTTTTTTAATTCAATTGTTAGCCTCGACAGATTTCCACAGAAAAAAAATAAAACTGTGGGGTAGTCAAAGCTCCCCCCCACACCACCCCTTTAAACATTCACACTTACCTTTCTCACGTTTATATTATTTATAAAAAGGTCGGACAAAAAGTTATCAACGCAAAATAAAAGTTCAAAATATTTTACTATTATAAAACAACTTAAAATGACTAGCATTTATTAATTAGAGTGAGGTCATTAATTGATCGATATTTTAATCAGTTTTTCTTCGAAAAAAAACATTAAAATAATAATAAGTTGTTGCGTTCACGAATTCACGACTACCTATAATTATTATGGATACAAGGTGGGTTTATATCGATCCATTTCATACATATAAATATAACTGTGGGTAAAAACTCCTCTAAAATGTCTTCCTTCACTATGTTTTTTAAAATCAAGTTTTTCATTCAACAATATACAAAATCGCTAATACCGCAGAATAAAATACAATTTAATTTGATCAAAAATCATTTATTCAGTAATAATTGTGACAGTACTATAATTAAAATCAATATGTACTATCCCCTCCAGTTATATTAAATACATACAATTTTAATAAATATATACCTATATCCATTATCTTTTTATAATAGATGTCTGTGTGTCAAGGTCTTATATACAATAAGACAATACAGATAAAATACTACTATATAAGGCACTCGCTTAATAAACGGTCATTTAAACTGATATAAGGAAAATTCTGGTCCAAAAGGGTTGTGTTTCAGAAAAATTTGGTCCGAACGGGTCCTGCGCGCGCCACTGAGTCCGTGGACCGCGGTTAAGGATTATGATATTCGTGTGTAAAAATTTGATAGAGATTGCTAGTTTGTTGTCAATTTAAATCGAGTTAAACAAATTCGGATTACATTAAAAACGAATATATTTTATGAAACGCGGTACACACATTTGTAATTCGGGGGGGGGGATAGAGGGCGCACATTTGTAATTCGGGAGACACGCCGGGGATATTCTCTTTGTCGAAGTGTCATCCGCGCCCCGATGGACATTTTCGTCTCGTATCGTTCAGCTCACTTTTTTTTTCTTCTTCTATACGCGTAGGTATATAGGTACACGAATAATAATTATTATCGTCGGGACGATTTCTCGTCCCTCCCGAGGTTTTTTTTTTTTCATTCTTTCTGGCGCGCCTCCGTGCTCCGTCGCCGGCGACGATTAATTTCAACGTACATACGTATTATGCGTATACGACCGGCCGCGTGTATTATTATTATTATTATTATTATTATACGGCCGCGAACGCGATAATGTATAGTACGTTTTTTTGCCGCCGCAGTGACAATAATAATAATAATAATAATATTACGTAACGGCGACGTTTTATTTTTACGATTATCAATCTTCGTACGCGTCATTATACCGTGCAGCATATACGTATTATACATACATAATATCATATGCGTATATATATATATATATATTTTATATATATATATATATATATATTACATACGTACTCACGTACACGCGTACCACATACATGCGTATACGTACAAACGTGAAACGATCGCTGGTAAGCGCGTCTCTCTATTATGCACAGTACTCGACGGCAGCCATCCGAGTCCCCCGGCCCGGCCCTCCCTGCCACGGCGTAATGGATTCGTAAATGACGCGTACCGCCCCTCGGCGGCGGCACATACGCGCGAGCCCGCTGGACGGGTACAGAGTCGGGCGATTGTGTGTAATTATTTTCTTGGCTCGCCCGCCGAATGTCCGTTCGTCCCGCCGCCGACGCGCCTACGCTCTCGCTCATAATAATATTAATATATTTATACGCTCGCGTGAAACGTGAAAACGGAATAATAATAATGATAAGAAAAAAAATTAAAAAATAAAAAACAAATTACAACAGACCTAAATATTAATGTTATATAAACGCGGTTGTATACGGTCGCGGATACCGGAACTATTGTTCTGCGGTTCTCGTCCCGGCCCGGACTAAGGTTTGTGGGGGCCCGCGGGTCCGTATTCGTAAGAGTTCTATTAAAATGGAACAAATAAGGAGGGGAGGGAGAAACGCTATCACTTAATTTTTATATTCTCGAAATAAGGTATGGTGTATGTTTAAATCTAACTTATAGAAAAAGAAAAAAAAACAAATATTCCATTCAACTCGTCGTAATATAAGTCAATAAAAGCAATATTGTATAGTATATATATATACATCAAAATGCATCCTATGATCTTCCCGGGGACATGCCTTCCTGGACGCCTTTAATTCAGGTCCATTCTCGCCGTGTCCGGATGTTACTTACGTGTCTACGCCTGTATATCCGTATTGGTTCCCGGGAGGTTAAATACGATATAACGATATAACATCGAAATAACCGTTCGCACCGCATTGCCGTTCGTATAGCGTTGTCGACACGAATTGAGATGTGTATATCTTAATCCGTGGTCGTCAGTAAAGATTACGTCCTCTGCAAGGTCAGTGGTGTAGCGAGGGATTTAAGTGCTTTGGGGCCAGTTCAGGTTTCCCGTCCTAGCTAATTAATCGATTTCTTCTTAGGATATATTTATTTTAAATTCTTCACATGATGAAAATCGTAGAAATTCAAAATACATCAATATTATATTACAATATTTTGAATTAAAAATACATTATATATTAAAATTATACGAATTACAATGACTTTTTTAGTATCCCGAGCAGTTGTCCGTGTTCCACTGTTCTTATAGCAACGCGCCACTCGTCTTGGTTTAAAGTTTCATCGTCACTTTTATACAAAATTCGACCCGATTCCGGCTTCCTGCGGAAAAGGCGTGTAAATATTTAAAATTTTTTATATATTTCGAGATAATATTTTTTAGTACGTTAAATACAATCCTCGCCACCCTCCAAATCTAAAAATCGAAGTATTTGTATAACCATAAAAATGTTTTCCGGGAAAACAAAAAATATACATCTCTGTAAAACTCTTCGTTATACTCAGAATTTAAAATCACATCTACGAAAAATTAAAACTAGATAGCGGCACCTTGCGGCTAGCATAAAATTGGTTTAGCAAAGCACCCCTCAAACTTCCCGGACAAGTCATTGGCCGATCGATTCAATATTATCCGGCGAAATAATTTAATACGGGGTCATCAATTTATCATAAGACATTCGTTATCTCGGAAATTATTTACTTTTTCCGGAATTTGTTTTCTAGAATATTTAAGAAACAAGCTGCTCTACAATTATATATTTATATTATTTTTTATCTCCCTTTTTTGGGTGTGAAGGAGGGGGTAAAACCACTACCTGCTTATGATTTTCAAACGGCAACCTATATTAAAAAAAATCTATACATCGATGGAGTATTAGTGAAAATAAATTTTAGTGTTGAAATTTTTGATTTCTGTCAGTCCTTTGACGAAATATTCCACTTTTAATTTTGGATTGGAGGAGAGTAGTGGAATATCATCTGTGTAGCGGTACGATGCGTAGAGTGTTAATAATGCACCACCACTCTCCCCCAACCCAAACTTAAAAGTGGAATATTTCGTCAAAGGACTGACAGAAATCAAAAATTTCAACACTAAAATTTATTTTCACTAATACTCCATCGATTTATAGATTTTTTTAATATAGGTTGCTATTTAAAAATCAAAAGTATGAAGTGGTTTTACCCCCAGAAATAGGGGTCACAAAAAATAACATAATTATAAAATTGTAGAACAGCTTGTTTCTTAAATATTCTAGAAAACAAATTCCGGAAAAAGTAAATACTTCCCGTGATAACGAATGTCTTATGATAGATTGATTACCCTGTACATGATTCGGTCTACATGGCATTATCACAAAATATATTATTTGTGTTGTACACGCGTCGACAACTTAACGATATTGTAATATATACATAGATTATTATTTATATAGTATTATAATTATTATAACACCGATCTTAAAAAAATGAAAATAATATCTAAAGTATAATATTTGCCTGTTAATATAATATTTATAATATTTTGTTGATAAAATATCGACCGTTCTCGGACAATGTACACAATACACATAGATATAGAATATTACATCGGTAATTCTGCGTATGGCCATGACTCATATTATATTTGCACTTCATTATAAAATATGTTGATAGGTTTTTTTTATACATAGATTTCAATACGTGTATGATCATTTCGTACAATATCCTTAACGACTATTTGGAATAATCCGTTATAACAATTTTTTCCAAGTTAATGACATTCATACATGAGATGTTCTACGTGATTGAGTGATTCGTAAACCAATATTATTCGGAGCTTAAAAATTATTTACAATATCAATAATATAATACAATGATACTTGTTAGTGACTTACACTTTGTATGAATTGGGAACGGGGGGGGGGGAAATAAACAGAACAGATACAAATATATAGACGATATAGTTTTACCCTGTTACGACAAGTATTCGATGCATATAGCTATAGGTGATATCAAAATTGATCTATCCGGACACAAAACTACTTGCAGACACCTCCTGCAGTGGTATATCAAGAAGAACATTTTTTCTCGAGTAGATCCGACTTGCATCACGGCGACTAAAATGAAACTAACTGAAATATTGGTTTGTATATTCCACTCATACGAGAGGGAGAAATTATCGGAATATTTATTTTTCGGTTAAAAAAAAAGCCTATTCCAGAATGCAAGGGGGGGGGGGGGTTAAGGACTTTATAACCTCTTCCCGAAATATCACTGATAATTTTTTTTTATGTGGTTTAAAAAATGTATAATGTAGTTTGCAGTTATATGTTAGCTATAATTCATTTAACGCTCATTATTTCGTAAAATATTGATTATATTCAAAAACATTTTTTCGAAAATTTAAGAAACTGTAGCAGCTCTAAAATGTTAGATCGCCATTATTTTTCATTACCCTTCTGCCATATAAATGATGCGCCACTACTCTAAATTTAAACATAAAAGTAGAACATACTAATACTCCATATATTTATAGAATTTTTAATGTATATGTAGGCTGTCATTTGAAAATCAAAAGTAAGTAGTCGTTTCACCCCTCAAAAATAAGAGTGACAAAAAATAGTGGCATTATAAAGTACTACAGTTTGTTTCTTAAATTGTCAATACTTTGCGTAATAATTTTTACGTTAAATAAATCAATAAATTATGTTTTAATAATCCAGTGTTTACTGTATTCTTAAAACATAAAGGTGCTCACAAACCAGAGCGATAGCGGCATCAGTAGCGGGTAGCGAAATTTCTGTAGTAACTGGACGAAATAAAATATCGCTGACCCAACTTAACCAAAGTGAAATATTACAGCAAAATCGCGCGGTAGTAATTAAAGGTCTTCTACAGTATTTAATTTGTATAATGTATTAATTTTCCATAACTATTGTATTATACCTATCCGAACTACGCTTACTTTATATTTTCTATCTTAAACATGTAACTCACCTGATCAGTGCTTATTTATTTCAGATTTGTGTCATCATGATGGACAATCATTATATTGATGATAACGATAATACTTTAATAGTATACAATAACGTACAATAACGAACAAACTAAATTAATACGCCGAGTACCTACGTATCTATAATAATTTCAGAACATTTATCATCAAGGTATGTATCGGATTACACGTAAACGTATAGCTTAAAAGTAGATAAAAATTAATTTATTGATATTACGAAAGATATTCAACACAATGTTCTGTCGTATATATAATTATTAACTGACTACAATTTTCAGTTAGTAAATTCATTTACCGCGGTGATAAGCGAAATAATAGTGCATGCAGCGAAAAAACTAATTTCGCTGCAGGTCTTGCGGTAAAAATTTACCGCCCCGAAAAATTTCGCTTTAATATGAAGTCTCATTTAAATGTATGAAAACAAGCTTTTTCTAACGCTGTAGTTTGTGAACACCTTAATACATTTTCTAATCATCTGATTAATTTATGGTGAATTAATTAATTTTAAAGTGAAGAGAGTCTTGAAAGGTTGAATATCCCTTCTGATATTATTTCCGACTATGCTACTACCAGAATAATATTTTTATATCTACGGAGCTGAATTAAGTGAGTGTCGTAACCCCATCCCCCAAGCCACGGAACTTGACCCCGGCTGTATCCCCAGGTCGTAGAGTTTCGCTTTTTTTTTGTTATTTTAATTTTTTTTAGATTTTGAGTATAGCGAAGAAGCTATTAATTTTTCTCGAAAAATCTTATTTTGTTTGGGAAAAACGCTCTGACGTTCACGTGAATCTTAAAAAATGCTAATTGTTCGTTTGATGACACTTTATTCGTAACATTTATTGACATTTTCAGAGATTTTCAATCAAGTCCGTTTTTTTAGTTTTTGAAACTATTCAAGTACCTCATCATTTTAATATATATATATATATATATATTATAATAATATTTTACTGGCATAATATGACGACTTCCGGCAGTACTAAAAAATAAAATATACACCGAGTAAAAATTAATAAAGACGAAATTGTAGACGTCCAAGTATATATATACTTACTTTATTGGCCGCGATAATCTCCGTTGAAAGAAATCGGCAGGTAACGAACATTTCGTGCCTCCCAGTGCAGCGCCACCGGGGGGGAGGGGGGTGCCACAATATATTCGTCGCGCCAATGTACGTGCGAATATCCGTGTGCCGTAAAGTCGTAACGCGCACAAACAATTTCATAATAAATGCTTACGACTCAATAACCGTGTAAATTATGTGCAATATATTATTATATAGCCGTGCTGTTTTTTTTTTTTAATGAGAAACACGATCCGTCCGTGTAACCCGACCCTGGGACGGCGGCTGTTGCGGCGGTGGCGGCAGCGGAGGCGGTAGTCTAAACAATATTACAATAAAATATTCACTCTAAAACAATATAAAATAACGCATACGAGTATATCGCGTACAGGCCAGTTTTGCGTGTGTGTGTGTATATTGTATATTAATACTGTAAATGCAAAAGTTTCTGACAATGTTTGGATGTTAGTGACTCAAACGCGCGCCAAAACGGCTGAACGGATTTTAATGAAATTTTTCCGCGCATAGATGGCCGAAATATACATTCAGGTTTATAACACATATATAGGATACTTTTCAACATAGCACATTAACTACTCGTTATGGTAAAATAAATGAAACAATAAAACGGTTATTATTGAAGAAACGCGAGGCGACAAGAAGACAACGCGGGATACACGTGTTAATTCTTTACTTTTTCTCCATCAAATACCTTGCAGGATATAAAAAAAAATAAACGGGGTTTTTAAAATTTAGAAACTTGAATCTTTGCACAGAGGTTCATTATACATTACAGGTTGTTAAGGTAACTGCTAAAAAAAAGCCTTTTTTTTAAATTTAACCACTATTAAGGATGGCTGACGCATGGTTTTTTTTTACAAAAATAGAATTTTGTTTTGACAATTACTAAACGACATTATGAAATAATACCTAAATGTCCTAACCTATATATGACGTTCTAAATGGTTTAAGTCGTATAATCAAATTGTATTATGATTTATGTTTTTTTGCCATACGAAAAATACATGGTACTGACAGGAGATATTTGAATTTTTCTTATAAAATGTATTAGAATATACATACACTTATGACTTAAGGAATTTAGACCGACAAATAAAATTAATAAAAATTACATAAGAAAAACCCCGAAAATTCTCTTAATTCTCTTTTGAAAAACTTAGTTTCTTCCTCCTCGGGGCCAAAGATTTATGTATATATATTATATATTTATTTGTATTTGAATAACATAATGTTTTTAAATTTTTTTTATTCGAATTTTCGAATTTTCCGTTATAACGGGAAAAAAAATCGGTCCCTTGGAGTTCGTTGTAACGGGAACTTACTGTATACAGAAATTGAGTGAAATTGGATCTAGCTAATGAAACAACTACAATGAACAAGCTGATCCATTAAGGTAGATCACCTTATCATCTCGAAAAATATTCAATTTTGTGCACTATTCAAACGTCCCTCTCCGTCCCGCCGTACAAATAAATGTGCCTTTATATAACTCTCTGCTTACATACCCAAACTTAAAAGTAGAATATCTCGTCAAAGAGTGCACAGAAATCAAAAATGTCAATACCAAAATCAATTTAAACTAATATTCCTCCTACATTATTAATACATATAAGTAGTCATTTAAAAATCAAAAGTAGATATAATGATTTTACTCTCTAAAATAAAAGTGACAAAAATTACCAGTAATGTAAAATTGTAGAGCTGCTCGTTAATACGATAAAATATCCACGTAGTTTTTGTCAGTAATCCTTAATATATTTATATAATAATAACATCACTGTAGGTGATGTAGGTTTTAAGGAAACGTAAATAACATATTTCAAATGTAAATACATAAAGTATAGTAGTCTTATATATTACAAGATTATAGTCTTATAATCTTATAGTCAGTTTGTCATTGTTCGTCGTTCTCCGCTTCATTATTTTAAATACTATTATAAATCATTGTTTTTTTTTTTTTGCGTATGTACAACTTTTTTTATAAAAATGTATGTTTAAAGCAAAATGCCTCAAATTGTATATTAATTATTTTAAAAGTCACAACTCACTGCAATAACAAAAAAAGTATATTGAGTATTATACATTTTTGACGAATTTTCATTTTATACTTACTTAATGTAACGTTTGATATATTTTAACTGAAATCAAATCAAATAATTATGTATAACAATTAAAGAAGTGTATGAAATAACTATATAAATATTATGTGGTTAAGAGGATGTTACACTTGTATTTACTTTATCAGTCCAACTAACTAACAAAATAGTAAAACCAATATTCCCCAATATTTCTAATATATTATAATATTTTAAACTGTTTTTCTAAATAAGTAGCAACCGAATAATTATATTTAATTATTTTCATATTGAGCACCTGACCATCTCTAAACATAAAATAAAATCGAAAAGCAGCAGCTTCTTAAAGATCGTGTTCGTTTCGTAACGGAAGCATGTGGTTTTGCTATGTTGCTCGTTAGTCAGACTGATACAATAGATACGGGTATGACATCCTCTTAAAGTATAACATCAATAATATTTTTTTTCCAATATTTTATTATTATTATTATGTAATAAATTTTTAAAATGGACTTTTCTTATCCGTGACAAATGTACAAAAATTAATTAATATTTAATCGTTATTGGTTTGGATTGTTACTATCAAAATATCGGGGAAAATAATTTCGGAAAATAAATGTGTTGCGATATGCCAGGACACAAAAAAACATATTAACAAATAAGTGATGAAATTAAAAAAGAATAGAAAAACCATGTGTTCGGGATTCGAACCCTAGACCGCTAGAGCGGAATATATAGTGTGAATGCCATTGCGTAAGCGTATTTACAGAGCACGAAAATAATTTTCAGTAGATTTAAAATAATGATACAGTCTGTTTAAAAAAAAAAATTATTTTCAGATTTTTAAAATGTTAAAAGTATAAAATAAGATGAAAAATGTTTGTGACCTATAACCGTAATGTAAGGAAGTTAATAGAGGAACAAAACATTTGCAGAAAACCAGTCGAAGTCCGGTCCAATATTTTTTGAGATTTTCGCGACTAAATAGATCATAACCATTTTCTCTAAAGTATACAACATCTAAGAAATATAATCTTTATTGTGATATGTTTTTCACTGTCGAAACCTATTGATAAACACTACAGGACATTTATCAGTGGACCGGCGCCTATATATATAAAATGGCCTGCACTAAAGAGGACACCATATCCGCATTTATACTACCTTACTGCCTTATAGTTTATATAACTATATTTATAAGTATCACAATGGATGACATAGCAAAATTACGTTACTTGTCGTACCTTATGTCGTGTAGATAGTGGTTAAACACTCGCAATGTTTTTCTTTGCTGTTGTTATCAGATTTTAAACTCTAAAATTTCATCCTAAAAAGAAAATATGTAGTATACGTAAGTATAACAGTATATTATAAGGGTAAAGTATAATATAAGGTACGTTGCTAAAAAATTATAAAACCGTTTATGTTTTTTTTTTGATAACTGTAGCTTTTTTCGTGAATATGTGAGTATAATTGGGTGGCATGCTTTTCGCCCAAAACGTAGTATTATAAACTAGTTCGCCCAAATTAAATACAAATTTTCGACTACGATATCACGCTCAACATTTTGGAAACCAATTTTCAAAATTATTTACGTTCAATATTTGCTTATTATTTCTAAGTATAATTTACTATTTGTAAAAAATATTTGAATAAAGTAATTTAGCATTCAGAGAGCACCACCACCACCACCACCACAAAGAATAGATAAAAAATATAATTGTATATTAAAAAATAACAAAATAAAAAGTTATTGTGTTTTTAAGCATAATAACATTTTTTGGAGATTAGTATAGAAGCCGCTTCACTGTAATGCTCTCTTGGTTAATGCTATATGACTTTATTAAACTATTGAAAAATACTTAAGAAGTACCTTACAATGAACAATAAACAAATATAAGTAAATATAAAACAAAAAATGGTTTTATGAATGGTTCTCAAAATATTAAACGTGAAACTACGGTCGAAAAGAGTGAATTAAATTTGGGCGATTAGAGGAAATTAACTTATTATATTTGGACGAAAGAGGTCAGTCCATCATAGTTTAAAAATTTTTATGTCGAGAAAAAAACTCGACATAAAAGTGATAGCAAAATGAAGGTGTTATATCCTCTAAAGGTGGTATTTATGCAATAAATTTTGAGTAGAGTCAAAACTCAAAAAATGTTTATATTACAATAAAATCGCGAATGTTGAAATTTAATACAATACTATTATTAATAGGTATTTTTATGTATTATACCACGCGTGAAATGCCTGTATTTTCGTGTTCTTTTGATGCCAAAATAAAACGTGATTTCCCCTCCTCCCCCTATAGTCGACTATACGTTGAGTGTATTTTATGTGCAGTACATATATATACGCAAATATACGCATTAACTAATCTTGTCAATTCCCGCGGAACGCTATATTATTATCATTATTATTATTATTATTATTATTATTATTATTATTATTATTATTATTATAACGTGCTAATGCATCTTCTGTTGGAACACTATCAAAGAAATAATAACCCTTTCAGCGCGAAATTATATTTTCACTCGGGTACATTAATATACTGGTAATGTAATATTATACACCCAGTTGCATTATATTATTATTTTACAAACGGACCGGACGCATTTATACTTGTTTAATTGTTTTTCGTATAATATATACTCGTATAGTTATCGATTTTATAGAAATGGCATTTTATTCGAAAAAACAACGTAATTGACCTAAACGAGTTGTTAATTATTTAGATCGAACAAACGTTTTAAACACCAAAATATTTGAAATTATTTTTATTTTTTTTAATTATCTATTTATAACGTTTCGCGTATTTTATGTACCACTAATTATCTCAGCTGATGACTTTAGATTTAAATTGAGTTTCCGGGAGATAATGGTATCTAAATACACACTTTGAGATCGTTTTCAGTTTTTTAACTCTTGTACACAAGCGCAATTAAAATTAATTTTTTTTAACAGCAACCCTTATTTTTGTCACCAAATATGAAAACTTTTTCGATCCTTCCACCATGGTCATAAACCTAAAATTCACTGCGAGTTACAACTTTTCAGAATTTGAAAACAAGTTTGATTTTTTTTGACACTGGAAGCGTGTTTTGGAAATAATTGAGGAAATTTGAAACATTTTATAAGATAGTAAATTATAAAATAAATGAAAATAATACGTTATAAAGTAACTATAATTCTATTTTATAAAACAAATTTTTAAATTCGTGAATAATTCGTAATTCAAATTTAAAATAATTAAAAATTCGTTATTAAAATACGGAAATTTCAATTTTTTGTTTCATATAAGTTATATGCACAAGGACAAAAAGTTATTATACATTTATACATTGATGAGTTTGTTCATGGAATAATTAAATGAGCAACTCGAATATAGATTGGGATGCAATCGTGAATACATGTTAAATTGCTCTTAAAGGTATTGTTTTTGTATCTGAAATTGAAATGCTAAAGATATATATATACATATACATGTTAAATATATTTGATTTGCGTTTTATGCTTTATCCATTGGATTTTAAAATAAATAACTTATAATCATTTGAAATGTTTTGAAGAATAAATGACATGATATGTATTATACATATGTCGTCGAGTTGTCATCCAAAGCTATCTACGGTTCTGAATTAGTCGATATCACCCAGTAAATTAATTAATGTAGATTAACACAACAATAACCATTATATAACTTTTAAATTACAAAATCGCACTATTTACAAATAAAGTATAAATGAGTGGCCTTATCACGAATACCGGTCATATACAAATTATACTCTTTCTTTAGATTTCGGTCGATTCTCCGTACCATAGGAGCCTAACTTAACTAAAGTAGATGATTTTAAAAACCTGTTTAACCTTTAACCAAACAGCTGATATCTCCGATTCGTCGAAAAAAAATGTATATATTTATTATAAAATATTATGTATACAATTGTGTATTTATTTAACCTTTATCACGTGGTTTGTATTACGTATCTACGCAGACACGCGGTGGTACAATTTGTTTAGAAGTTATATTATAGCTATTATAGTTCTGTATTTATTTTTGATTTTTTTTAATAGGTATTTACTTTAATTTTATTATACCTTTGTAAATTGTCCCAACCAACGGTAGACGGTGTAGGAAAAATATATGAAAAAATAATACCAAATGATAACTGAACAATATTCTGGGAAACACTTTACATAATAATATGATTTATATTAAAAAAAAATATTCTAACATGCAATTGTTGATAGATAATTAATTATTATTATTATTATTTTTAGTTAAAAAGTTAACAAAACGTTTAATTTGATTTATTTTTTATTTCAACCAGTTTATGGTTTTATGATGAAAGAAAATAAAAAAAAAAAAATTTTTTTTTAATTGGTGGGTTAATTTAAATACTTTATATAAACACTACAATAACAGTAACACTGAAATGGACACTGAAAATCTACTTAACAATACGACGGTCGAAAATAAAAAAAACAGTGTCGAAAAAAGAAATTCAAATGTTTAACATTAATTAGTTTACTGATTTTGTAATGCAGGAGTGTCTAATATGTGATCGTTATTTGCAGGATCACAGCACCGGCCAATGCTACTGGAACCAAGACACGGTGGCGGAGGGAGTGGCGGAGGTGGACAAGACTCTCAACAACAACAACAACAACAACAGCAGATGCTCTTGTTGCATCAACAACAGCATCAACTACACCAACAACAACCACACCAGCAACAGCACCACATGCAACAGCACGACCAAACCGTTCAAAATCACAACCAACAGCAGCAGCAGCAACAGCAGCAGCAAAACCATCATGATCATCACCAACTCCACGAATTACACCATCACCATAATTTACAACAACACCAACAGAACTTACAGCACCAACAACAGCAACAGTACGGCGAAGTGAACCAATTGGGCGGCGTTTTCGTCAACGGTCGGCCGCTTCCGAACGCCGTGCGCGTACGCATCGTCGAATTGGCCCGTGTGGGCATCCGGCCGTGCGACATAAGTCGGCAGCTGCGAGTATCGCACGGTTGCGTTTCGAAGATTCTCGCCCGGTACCACGAGACGGGCAGCGTCTTGCCGGGAGCCATAGGCGGCAGCAAGCCACGCGTTACCACGCCTAGGGTGGTTGCGTACATTGGCCGGTTGAAGCGCAAAGATCCGGGCGTGTTCGCGTGGGAGATCCGGGATCGGTTGCTCGCCGACGGGGTTTGTGATAAGTTCAACGTGCCCAGCGTGTCCAGCATAAGCCGGATCCTGCGCAATAAAATCGGCTCGTCCGGCAGTAGCAGCAGCGGCGGCGGCGGTGCCGGAGGACCTACACAAACCACTTCACCGCAGCAGCCCGCTGTGGCCGCTGTCGTCGGCTTATCACCCACGGCCGCAGCGCACCACGTGTACGGCCCTTACCATCACGGCTACCCTAACCACCAAGTCTCTTCTCCGCCGACCACGGCGGTGGCAGCGGCGGCGGCCGCGGCGGCGGGATATCACCTCAATCATCATCAACACGGCCAGTATCACCACGATTACCATCAACACCACCAACTCTACACCAATCACTATCAACAGCATCATCTTTGTTCGCCGCCGCCGGGTTTACATACCGCGGTGTTTCCGACGGCGGCGGTGGCCGGTCCGATGTGTTGTTCACCGCCACCGCCGACGGGGCCGTCCAGAATCGCGTCGGCTCCTCAGTCACCGGTACCGTCGCCGCACCCCGCGCTGCAGCACTGTTGGCCAAGTCCGCACGCGGTCACCGATATACTCGCGGCGGCCGCGGCCGCTCAAAAGCAGCACCACCATCAACACTTGCATCCGTCGCACGCCCATCCGGCGCTGCACCCGTCCCAACATCATCCGGCCGGTCATTACGGAGTCGGCGGGCCCGCGGTCAATAGTGCTGGCGGCGGCGGCGGCGGCGGCAATGACGCCTCAATGGCCGCGGCGAACTACGAGGGTACGACCGGCGGGAGTGCGGCCGCCGCGGCCGCCGCCGCCGCCGCGTACAACACATACTGCAGCAGCTATTATCATCACGCCATGGTGTACGCGGCGTCGGCCGCGGGCAGCATCGCGGCCGTCGGACGGCACCCGTCGCACCATCTCACCGCGACGCAGCCGTGTTCGGCGGCCACCGAGGCCGTGTGGCCGGGCGCGATAGCGCCGCCGCCGCCGCCTCCGCGAACGCACGCGCCTCCGTGTACGCCGCCGCCGCCGCCGCCGTCGTCGTCGTCCACGCCTTCGACCGCCGCGTAGGGCAGTTCATCGCCGTTCGTCCGGAGAATCCGGGACACCGCAGGCGCGTGGACGAGTGCGAACTGCCGCGGTGGACTTTCCGGCCCGACATTTCGTCACACATTTTTTTTATTGCGTACTCGTACTGTTATCATTGTATTATTGTTAAGCAAATAGTATTATTGGCCGCGGACGTTCCGGGCGACGTCGCAATAACGTAATCTCCCTGCGGTCGGTTACGCGCGCGCGTGACGCACTCGAATGCGACGGGACGACGTTCCGTTTCTCCGGGAACCGCCGCGAAAAACCAACCGAGAAACGCGTATTTGCAGACGGCCGCCGCGGTAGTACCGTTCCGAAACGGGTCGTAAACCGCGGAAAAAAACCGAAAAACAATCGAATGTCCCCGTAGGCGTGCGCCGAGAACGAGCGAACCGCGCGGACGCAACGTATCGTTAGCGTCGCGATTCATTTTTGTTTCGATATTGTTCCGCATCTAGCCGTCTCTTTTACATTTCACTCGGCGCTCTATTTCCGTCGTTTTTGAACCGAATTGAACTGTCGAAGACCGCCGCACCGAAAAAAACAAATCAAAAACGGTCGTTTGTCGTTTGACTTCGCCCCGGGGTTCGAAACACGTTCGCGCCACGTCTATTACGTCCGACTACGGGCTACAGTATAACATTATGTGGACCGGTCTATTTGTAAATTTTTTTTCCCGTCCGCCCGACGACACGAATCCTTTCATTTTTCGTTCGCATCATTATTGCGTGACCTCTATACGATTTATACGAATTTTGCGATTTCGGGCGTAGGTATCGTATTTTTACTACCGTTTTTATTATTGTCAAAATAATAACATTAATTTTACTATATACACGACTCTGTACTATATATAAACGAGTGTGCCGTCTGTCCGAGACGTCTGCGGCGGCGTAAATTATATATAAACTATACTTGTTTGTTGTTGTTGCGTCCACCACCTCCCTTTTTTTTTTCGCTACAGCCGTCGCAGGTGTTTACCGCCAAGGGCTAACGCGAAAAAAAATCTTTCGAGAGCGGTATAATGCTCGGCACAAAAACGTGTCGCATTCGACTGTAATTGTACCGGCGTTATTTAATTAATAAATAATTATAAAATTATTGAAAACTCTAATACACAATTACAGAATAATTTATGTTATTATATTGCATATAACGGTATAAAACGATAATTTTATTGTACGATTATTGTTACAGCCATTGTACGGCAAAAAAATGTACAGCTTATTTATATTATTTCATTATTTTATATCTACACCGAAAGTTATCGGCAAGATATATTCGTTTTTCTACGTCTTAATATTATTCCTCATAATGTATTTTTTAATGCATATAAATCGATTTCCCTCCCTCCCCCTTAGTTATTTAACTTCTGTAACTTCTATAACTTTTTGTAAATTAATGCCTTTTCGAACAAAATATAGTAATAAGTTGAATTAATTAATTTTTTTTTCGTTATAAAACAATAACGGTTCGATTAATATTATTAATGTAATGATGTAATCAATGGGCGAATTGTAAGTTCTCGCACTAGATATAGCGGGTGAAAATCATTCGGAGGTATTGCATACGTAAGTTCCAATAGTAAATACAATTTCCTTTCCATTTTATATTGGGAATGACCACTTAATCAGAACTATCACTGGACCAAACACTATGGGCGAGGAAACGTGCTATTATCATCTATGTACGTAATTACTCGCTGTAGTCAAATCGCAAAATAAAATTCGTTATTATTTTCTGGTTATTTCAGTACTTACGCATACAAATGTGAAATTATAACAATAACGTAAATAATTAGAAACGTGTCTTAAAACTATATAGACTACTGCGGGCTAATGGAAAATTTCGTATTTTTGTCGTCCGATTTTCCGCCACCAGTTGTCGTACGTCGCAAACACGTTATAATTTTACCAACGCTTTATACAAATATTGTAATAATAATATAATATTATACACATAAAATTATATTGTCGGTTATGATATTTTCAAATACCTCTTTGAGAACATTCACTTCTGTTTCCCCCCTCCCTTCCAATAATATTTTGTTTAATATGCATGTCGCCTTCTCTCTGGTTTCTAATGTTTGTTTTGTTTGTTCGAATTATCTACCCACTTATATTATGTAATATTATTGGGATTTTATTTATAAAAAAAAAAATATATTGTTCAAAACATTTTTTTATAAACTCTATATTATAACAGTATACCTATATATATATATATTTTTTTTTATGAAATAAAAATTATTTATTGTACAATAAAGCATAATTAAAATTGATATAATTTGATTATTTTGTCTTTGTTTTCTTTATCGTCTATTCGTACACATAGTTAAAAAACATTTACGTTTTGACACACCGTCTTAGAAACTCTTGAAGTTAGCCAAGTGGAAAACACTAATAGACATAATATGTATAAAAACGTAGGCATACACAGACGTTTGATCGAGGTAATCTCGAGAACTACTCATCCAATCGTCATGCAGTTTCTTTCCAATGACGGAATATATCGCGGAGAACGGTAATAGCTATTGAAACCTACCTCTTATTGAAAACCATTCCCCGAAATTCGGTTTTTAAGGAATATATTTATTTTATTTTTTATTTTTTTTATAAAAAATATCTACAATCTATGAGGCATAATTATCAAATTTAACAAAATGTATATACGAGAAATATACATTCGTATACATAAAGAAATAAACCCAACTTATTAACACATAGAGGAGAGGGGCCATCCATTTATAGATCCCAACATAATAACGTAACAAATATGATTATTTAATTTAATCAACTAGCCGGTCACGAAACCATTTTTTTTGGAGACGTCTAATGGGATTATCAGGAAGTGAATTAGAAACAAATTCCGCGATTAGAGGATTTAAATGTAAATGTAGTTTGGAATAATATTTTTACAACGTTTCGAAGCTAGTTAGTTTACTGATTTAATTTTAAAGTCTTATTGCAAAGTAAAGTTCTAAACGAACCTTGGATAAGGAAAAATAACAAATAAATAGACGTCCTAGAATAATGGAAACGGGTGAAGTCACTAGGTAATTTGATGTACACCTGTAAGTAACGATAAAACATTGCTTAAAAAAAAAAAAGATTCTGTAGTTCACTTGATAGTGATGCTTTGTTACAATATTTATGCCATATCATAGTAAAATAATTAAATAGGCTTTATAAATTTTCTTTAATAATATGTTGTACTGATTTTCTCGGTTTTCCTACGTTTTTTCCCAGTTTTCCACATTTTTTTGAGAAAATACCTGAGAAAATCGAAAAATTACCACTGTACAGTACCTCACTAGTGATATTTAAGTGAAAAACGATAATTTAATTTTTCGTTACGTGATGATTTCTATAAATTCTCACTTACCACAAGCCGCATTAAAGAACTTTGTTCCAAAAAAATAAATGTAAACGGAAATAAAAATGCTATAACAACTATAATAACTTAAAATAAATAGTGTATTTGACTTCCTACCGGTCTTTTATTATTAGCTTGAAAAACATGGAAAAAAAACAAAAACTATTGAAATAAGAGAAAACACGTAAAACGTCATCTTTGAATCTTTGTACTTTTTGATACAATAAAAACATTATAGTATAATTGTTATACTCATGGGATTATGGAGACACACGAGGTGACGGGAAGACACAGGGTAATGGAAAGACACGGGGTATTGGAAAATATTGTAAGACGAGGAGACTCGGGATGGCAAGAATACAGGTTTTTATTAGTTTTCATTCAAGCTCCTTACACTGATAAGGTGAAAAACTAATAATAATACTAATTTGTATACTAAATAGTTTGATCCAAACATAAAATTGGCACGATCAACGCCGAGCAGAACAGCTTGAGTCGATATATATGTATGTATGTGTATGTATAATGTATATGTATGCATGTACTCTATAGAAAGTGACGTCCCATGTGCGTAAAGTTTTGAAATTTTGTATAAGGGTGAATTTCGTCTTCCACTTTTTGAATCTTGAATACAGAATTTAAAAATTACACCCATAAAGTGTGTCTGACACGAGATTTTAGGTAAAAACTGAATATTTTTTTGTTGATTAAAAAAGCCATAACGGGCATGGATGAAAAAGAAATAATAACGTATTTAATCCGTGTAAAATAATAATTATTATTCACAGCTAGTTAAATTAGCTAGTCACAAAGCTAGTAATTATCTATTAATAATACAACATATTAGGAAATTTATTTATTTATTTATTTGGAAGGACAAGATGTTCGTTTAAATGAACTATAACATGATCGGTAGCGTACAATTGTTTGAATTAAAATCTTAGTTACTACACCTTATTAAATATGTAATACATTTTGGTATATGCATTAACATCATCAAATTAAAATAATTACAATATAAATATATACAAATACATCAATCATAGGTTCTGGATTTCTGGTCAATCACATACACTAATTTATTAAATTATTTAAATATACATTAAACGAATCAACAATTGTAAACGAAAATAAATCTATGTGAAATAAAATGACTAATTCCATACCTCTATTCATAGGAGAATTTCGACTGTAATTGGTATACTGGAATGGTACATAAAAGATATTAGTTGTTCAGTGTTACGACTAGAAGCCAGAAAATTTAAGCTCGAAAGTAATTCAGGACAATACACTTGTCCATTAAGTAGTTTAAAAATGAAATAGAGATCTACCTTTTTCTTTCGTATTACCAACGGTTCAATGTTTAAATGTCATAATTAAATAACATAAATCTTAAAAAACAACGATTTTTTATCGGCTATTGTTTATATCGGACCATCCCTACTAGGTGCCCAAACTATAGAGTTTAAATGATAGTGATGCATCAAAATTTATAGCTAGTTCATTAGTCCCATAAACGCGAGTGCGTTCAGAGTCATTTAAATTGTAGTTATAAAGATATGGTGTCCCTTTATTTGAGAAGATCAATACTTCTACAGAATAACTATTCTGGTTACATCAATCATAGAAATCGATTATATTATTTTGGAGTAACTCAGCATAGTTTGGGTTCTTTATGATTCGAAATTTTAAGTCATCCGCAAAGAGTAATTACGTGAATTGATAAATTTAATATCGTTAATAAATATGTTAAATAATAATGGTGCAGCAATATGACCCTTGTGGGTACCGGAACTAACATTATACTGACTAGAGCAAACGTAACATATTGTTTCCTACTAGTTAAAAAGGATTCTAACCACGAATGAAAATGATTGTGTTAGCCTAAGTAATTTGGTGATAAGAGTATTATGGTTGATTTTGTCGAAAGCTTTCAATAAATATTAACTAAACTAAACTAAACTTCTTCTTTACCGAAGAAGTCCTATGAATAATACACAATCGTAACTAGATAAAAATTTCCCGAGTCAAAACAAATTTTTTTTTTAAATTGTTATAAAGTATATTTGTACCTAATGTGTGTACCTAACTGATGTGTATTATTGTAAAATCACGAAATTATGTGTATTATGTGCATTACGTCGAAGCGATTATTTATTCAATATTGTATAGAAAATTCATGTTTGTCAAATCGTCTAACGAAGTTTCGAATTTAAAGAAATAAGTATTCTGATAGGTATTATCATGTTATATTGTTTTCGCGAATCCTAAATCGTAACTCGTAATTGTTTCGAATTCACAACTGTAACACAGTTGCCTACATAAAGCGCCGTTTTGTTAGAATTTATTTTTAACCATTGTATATCATATAATATGATATTATAGGTATGTATATGTTTTATAACAAGTAATTTATTATACGAGTACCCAAATCTGTAAAAATTTTCACTGAAGCTTTTTTCTTCTCGTGCATTTTTTAACTGTTGACCATTTTGATTCAGATGAGTGTACACATAAATAAAAATAACATTATATTGTTAAACCGCTACATTTCTCACTTTCCTATCGGAATTTAGAATATTAAATTTGAGCATAAAACTGTTTAAAATGATTTTAAAATCAAACAGATGTTATACGCTCAAAAATTGTTTGAAATAAAACACTTTAAGAAGTTTTAAACACGAAGGATACAGAGAAAAACCAGTTTTTTTTTTCGAAAATGGCGATATTGATTTCAAATAATTTGTATTAATGTACTGTACCTTTTATGCGATTAAACCAGCGAAAAAATCAGATTAATCGAAATTAATGAACGCTAGAAGTTTAGGCCTACAGGAAAAAAATGCCATGTCGTCTTTTGCCATATCGAAATGTAACTTGCCACAACAGATAAAAATTAAATTACATAAAATTAATTGTAAAGAAAAAAATATATCAGGTTTATGCGATAAAAATTATAGGATTCTATCTAGAGTAAGTTCAATCAAATACTTAGGTGTAATTTTTGATGAGTACTTAAAATGGAAATTTCATATAAAAATGATTATTACTCGGATAAGGAAATGTTTTTATATTTTTTAAAGAGCTAATGTATATTCTTAATGTTCTTAATCTAAAATTAATGTATGGATTAATTGTATCGAGTTCAGCATATAAAAATGTATTAGAGCTATTAATTATAACTCACAGGATGATCATTAGAGTTTTAATGAAAAATTATTATATAAATCGGAATTTTAGTACAGATGATTTATTTCAATAACTAAAAGTATTAACAATTGATCAATTGTATAATAAATTATCAGTAATAAAAATACAAATGATTAGAAAAGAATTTGAGATCGATAGTATACATAAAACAAGGGGAGAAAATAGTGGTAATTTAAGGTTAACTAAACCAAATACAAAACAATGGCCAATTATTTTATTAATAGAGTTATTAATGTATATAATCAACTATCTACGGAAATTAAACTAATAGAAAGTAATATTAAAATTAAACTAAGGTTAAAAAAACGATATATATACGATTGTTTGATTGATGTCTCATTCAACTCGTTGCTATTAGAGTTATTGTGGTTATTGTTATGACTGTATTATAATGTATTCTATTATTATCCTATAATTTAATAGTTCTTAATGTAACTTATAATTATAATTATAAATATAATTTTTGTTACAATTGACTCTCTCCTATCGACACAAGCTTAGCTAATAGGGAGGAGATATCAACTTGTAATGTAAATATTAAATATGATGTATATACAGATGCTGTTGTTGAAAACAAATGGAATAAAATAAAAATAAAATAAATTTCGATACGAGGAAAAAAATAAAAAAAAATAGGTCATATTAATCATGTTTCAAAGACGAACACAGAACACAATA